TGCCCCTTTGAATCAGCATTTTTGTATCCTTTGGATAAATACCTAGCAGTGCAGTTGCGGTCGTCGGGTAGCTCTGTTCTCAAAAAAAAGGAATCTCCATAGTTATTTCCAGAATGGCTGCACCAGTTTGCATTCCCACCAGCAGTGCAAAAGTGTTCCCCTTTTCTCACATCCTCACCAACATCTGTTGTTTCCTGAGCTGTTAATTTTACCCATTCTGACAGGTGTGAGGTTGTATTTCATTGTGGTTTGATTTATATTTCCCTAATAATGAGTGATGTTGAGCATCTTTTCATGTGTCTATTGGCCATCTGGATATCTTCTTTGGAAAAGTGTCTGTTCTTGTCTTTTGCCCATTTCTTCACTGGATTTTTTGGTTTTTGGGTGTTGAGTTTGATAAGTTCTTTATAGATTTTTTATACTAACCCTTTATCTGATGTGTCATTTGCCAATAATCTTCTCTCATTCTGTCAGGTGCCTTTTAGTTTTGTTGATTGTTTCCTTCTCTGTGCAGCTTTTTATCTTGATGATAGTTCATTTTTGCTTTTGTTTCCCCTACCTTGGGGAAATAAGAATTTTCTAATAAGAATTTTCTGTGGTCAAGGTCAAAGAGGTTGTTGCCTGTTTTCTCCTCTAGGGTTTCATTGGCTTCCTGTCTTACATTAGGTCTTTCATCCATTTTAAGTTTATTTTTGTATATGGTGTAAGAAAGTGGTCCAGGTTCATTCTTCTGCATGTTGCTGTCCAGTTTTCCCAACATTATGTGCTAAAAAGACTGTCTTTTTTATTGAAGCCTACTTTTTCTGTTGTGTTAATTTATTTAATCTTTATTTTTCATTCATTCTTGGTCTTGCATAATTTTTTCTAGTCTCTTGGATTATAAACACTTATTTTTGATCTTTCTTATTTGCATTTAAGGCCAAGAATTAATCTCTGAATAATATTTTAGCTTTTATCATGGATTTTTGGAATTTATTGTTCTTATTGTCTAACATTTAGCTTATAATTTCACATGTGATTTAATTTTTAATCTAAGATATCATTGGAATGCCTTTAAATTCGCATTTGGATAGATTTTATAATTATTATTATATGTTTTATTTTAAAATTGATTGCATATTTGTCAGTGAATGTGACTTATTTAAGTATATCTCTAGGGTACTGAGTATTTACCCAAAGAGAAAAAAATAATTCAAAAAGATATACGCACCCCTGTGTTTGCAGAATTATTTACAATAGCTGAGATATGGAGCCAACCCAAGTGTTTATTAATAGCTGAATGGATAAAGAAGATGCAGCATATATGTATACAATGGAATGTTACTCTGCCATAAAGAAGAATGAGATCTTGCCATTTGCAACAACATGGGTGGGCCTATAGGATATAATGCTAAGTGAAATAAGTCAGACCGAGAAAGACAGATACCATATGATTTCAGTCATCTGTGGAATTTTAGAAACAAAACAAATGAACAAAATAAAAAAAGAGAGACAAAAAACCAGACTCTTAAGTACAGAAAACAAACTGGGGTTGCAGAGGGGAGGTGCAGGGGGAATGAGTGAAATAGATAAAGGGGATGAAGAGTACACTTAACTTCAACAAGGACTGAGAAATGTATACAAGTATTGAATCGTTATATTGGACACCTGAAACCAATATAACACTGTATGTTAATTACACTTCAATCTCAAAAAAAAAAAAAGTAGTTCTGGAGAATTTAGTAAGATGTAGATTTATCAGTTCTAATCTCAGGTGTAGAAGAGGAAGAAGGGGAACCTTATTACCTGTATTGATTCAAGGCAACTTGTATACAAAGAGTTATAACACACATACTCAAACCTTGAGAAAAAAGGAAACAGCCAGTCTGGAAGGTCAGAAACAGCTCCTGTAAGTAATGAACATGGAAAATGTTTGGTATGGTGTTTCTGTAATGTGAAGGAAATATCATATAGTCAAAGTCTAGTTTTGAAAGAACTCCAGCGGTAGTGCCAACCTTTCACAGGTTGGAATTGAAAAATCATTATCCCCCATAAGTTATACTCTCCAATCCCAGTGCCGCATGATTTGGACAGCAGAGCAAGCTTCACTGGCTGGAAAATGTTGCTTTTCCTTACCATTGAAGCCCAGCCTCTTGTGGTCAGGCACATAGGGAAATGGTAGGATCTGTTATCGACAAGCAGAGGAAGTGTGTTTTATTTTTTTTTTTAATTTTTTTTTTCAACGTTTTTATTTATTTTTGGGACAGAGAGAGACAGAGCATGAACGGGGGAGGGGCAGAGAGAGAGGGAGACACAGAATCGGAAACAGGCTCCAGGCTCTGAGCCATCAGCCCAGAGCCCGACGCGGGGCTCGAACTCACGGACCGCGAGATCGTGACCTGGCTGAAGTCGGACGCTTAACCGACTGCGCCACCCAGGCGCCCGGAAGTGTGTTTTAAATAGGAATGGCATTAACATTTGAAATATATTAAAATAACTAGTAAAGATTTAAAAACGATGCTAGTGTTAGTGTGTTTAATGGGTGAATGGATGTTTTAAAACTATAAATACAGAGCACCTAGCCTTTTCACTCAACCTACTTCAGAACTCGAGGTCCATTCACTGGCAGATTTATCTTCCTTTTTCATTCTTACCATGTCATTCCCCTGCTTTAACATGGGGAATTGTGTTAAATGTTCTTTTGTTTGTTCTGTTCTGTTTTGGTTTAACCCTTATGAGAGTCTCAGCTCCTCTGCCTGGCTTTCTGAGCCTTCCATAATTGTAGTTGACTGTCTTGAGTAATTTATTTCTCAGGTTTTTATAATACCTTGCCTCAACTCCTGGTAAACCAGGCTCTCCTGGTTGGTAGCTGAAATGTTTCAGGTATTTCCATACCTGAACTTTCTAACTTTATTTCAGGTCTGAATGCCTGTGCCAGCCTCCTCTGGCTCTGTAAGTCCTCTCCGTCAAGCTTTGAATTCCAGTTCCAGTTTACCCACCTCTGGGTGAAACCCTTCCAGGCTGCACCTCTTCCTTCTCCATTACCCTCCAGTAAACACACAGTTGTGTTGTAGAAGAAATTAGCTCTTAACAGCGGGTTGACCGTTTTTCAATAATGTTCCATAAATGTTACTCTCTACTCCTCGTTATGAATAGCTCGAGAGCAAGGATCACAGTTTAAACTTCTGCCTCCCCCAAGATAGTCCCAGAATAGTTTACATTACAAAGGGCATGCATGCCTTCGGTCTAGTAGGTTGGCTATAGACCAAGTAAACCAACTCAGCAGGTGGACACTTCTCCACTTCACAGATTAAGAAGTTGGCATCTACTAGGGTCTAAACATCCCAAACCATCAGTTTCAGACTGTAAATAAATGCCTCTCCATTTTCAAGACTGTTGTCTACCATAGGTGAGTCATTTAAAAGTTTGAGAAAGTTTTTTTTTTTGAAAACTTCAGAAGACCACTGAAAAGTGGTCCATATCATTTTAAGGATTTTAGTGTACAGATTGGTTTTTAGAGCCACCAGAAATCTGATTGGCAGTAAATTGTGTGGCTTTAGACCTTTTTATGTCTTTTCATTCTCCTACCAGTTCCAGTAATTGGGCATCCATGTTTTAATAATTGGCCATGTCTTTACATGATTTTTACACAATTACAAGTGTGTAATCTCCTTTGAAATAAAATAGGAAAAAGAACACACAAGGCTCAAAAATTGAGACTTTCCTTGTGTAATTTGTAGCACATGATAAAGGATCTTTCATGAAGCAGGTGTTCAGTAATTGCTAAATAAATATGAAAATAAAAGAAATAACATCAGGCTCTGTGGAAAAAATGAACAGACTTTATACTGAAAAGATTGCTGATTGAATAGCAGATTTTCATCGTCACACACATTCATAGATAATAACTCCCACATTCAAATCTATATTGGCAGAAATGATAGATTTGTGTGTAATTTTTTTTTTACTAGTACCCTTCCAGACTTGAGCAATTGACTTGCTTTACAAAGATACTCAACTTCTGACAATATTGCAGGGGAGGACAATGCTTTGGCAGGATCTCAGTGAAGAAACTAGCAAATTAGAAGCTGGACTAGAAGAGCATACTTAGGCTTTTGGTAGTTATTATCACTCTTTATTTTGTCATGAAGGAATTAATATGTTAATCATCAACAGTAGCCAACCCCCATATGGTGCTCAGTGTGTATCAGATATTATTTGATGTAATTTATACAGGACAAGTCATGTGAAATTCATAATAACTCTTTGAATATTCTACCAACAGAGAACCTAAGTGACTTGCTCAAGGTCGCACAAGTGGGGGAGCCTGGATTAGAATTCCAGCAGTGTGGCCCTAGGGTCCTTTCCATTAGCCATGTAGCTACGTCATCACCTGGAATTCTTTTTTTTAAGTTTATTTATTTATTTTGAGAGAGAGAGGGGGAGAGAGAGAGAGAGAGAAAGAGTATGCATGCAAGTGGGGAAGGGGCAGAGAGAGAGAGAAGGGGAGAGAGAGAATCCCAGGCAGGCTCCACACTGCCACGCTGTCAGTGTGGAGCCCTATGCAGGGCTCGGACTTATGAACCGTAAGATCATGACCTAAGCCTAATTCAGATGCTTCACTGACTGAGCTGTCTAGGTGCCCCCATCACCTGGAATTTAAGCCTAAAATGTGTGGCTACTGCACCAAAAATAACAAATACTGTAATTGTCAAACCGTGTGACATGAAGCATTGTAATTTCTACATCTTAGGAAGGGTATGAACAGCAAATTCTCCAGAGCTAAGAAGACACAGTTATTTTGACCTTGACACAGTTCTCCTTTGAGAAGCCTGTGTGAGCTGTATGGCTCTGGATTGAACAAAGGAGCAGAAAATCAGGTGCAGGCCCTGTATGAAATCAAGAATTGCTTGGTGTGAAAAGAACTTTTGTAAACTGCAGAACATAAATCAGATTGACATGTGAGGCAGTCCGTACTTACATGATATAATGTCTTGTGTTCATCTTCCCTTGTTTCACAGTCTATACTTGAGACCATTCCAGCTCTACCAGTTCATTCCAATGGATCTCCAGACCCTGGACAGTCAGTTCAGAATGCAGTGAGTGGTGAGCGACACCTCCTTCTCTATTGAACTTAGGCTGTGTCTTCTTGCTTTTGTTCTGGCTCGCAGCACAGTTACCAGTAACGTTATCAAGGCAGAGTGTGTGTTTTTCTTCCCATTTTGATTCTGTCACTCTAGCACTCACTCCCTGCCAGCTCCAAACACCCCATTCTGTCACACCAGACAAAATTAATTGAGCCAAATTGGAAGCAGAATCTTTTTCTCCTTCACCACCATCACATCATTTAGAAAGTACTCACTTGGATAGTGTCTTTGATTTGAGGTCTCTTTCACAAGTAATCTGGATCTGCTTAATAGTTACAAGTGGTCCAGGAAGTAGGAAGTAGGACACTTCCAGAAATCTCTACTTACGCTCAAGTGTAAGCAGCACCAGAGAAGCTTATAACATACGAGGTTACAGGCTTAGCTTTTAACTGGGCCTCTTCCACTTGAGCATTGGGCATGCTCCAGGGGCTCAGTATGGAATCCGAAATCCTCCTTATAGGAAGTAGGCTCCTTCAAGACCCTACTCTGGTGAGTCCTTGAACCTTTCCTTAAATATGTGCCTCTTCTTATATACAACAGAGCTTTATACTTTCAGCATTAACTTCTAAATTCAAATGAGTAGGGGTGATGAAAATGTTCTGATGTTTGTTATTCAGTTCAAATTACACCTCTAAGAGATAAAAGTCTACTGGGGGTGGTTTGTTGGTTTGGAGAACTGTAATCACCACTCTCCAAAAAAATCTATGTATAGAGCTATAAGAAGTTAGAGTATTATTTAACAATTCATCTTCTTCCACTTTAAATGCAAGCCTCTGTATGAGGAGTGAACATCAAAACTCCCCCTTTGCCATTTCCTAAGTTTTTGCTGCATCCATTTATTGTATTTTTAATCAAAAATACTAATACTAATCAGTATTTCAGTTCAGAACTTTACAAACTGTTGATTTGCAAATTTTCCCATTTAGGCTTTAATATAAGATTCTTTAGGTCTTCTCTTATTTCTTTTCATTGTTGTTCCTTTTGTTCTATTTGGTTGTCCTTTGGTCACTGTCTATAGAAGAGGGTAGAAAAGATGAGTTCTCTTTTTTGTAATCAAATTGGTCTTTCATTGCATGTGAACAATTTTTCCAAGCAATGAAAAAAAAAATGGCAAGCCAAAATCTTAGTCAGACATTAGAGTTTAGGGTTACTCAGATGATTTCTGGATTTACTTGTTTTTGGTCAAGGAATCTATTGTCTCACATTCCAAACTACCTCAAGGAAAATATTTATGTGGGACATTATACCCATTGGGCTGTTTCTTAATAAACAGCACACAAGGTCAGGTAACCAAATCAAATCCTAAGAATTTGGATGAATTTACCAGAACAAACCTAGCAGTGAAGTCCAAATTTAATTTGAACACATCTTAGGAGACAAAAATCCCATAGTTTGGGAAAAACAATAAGAGAAATGAATTTAGGCAGGAAGTGTAGTGGGGTCTCTGCCCTTCCTCCTTCTGCCTTAAGCTTCTGCTTCCCCAGTAGCGGCAACATTGGGTTTAGGTGGACTTAACTGTAATATCATGGTAACATAGATCTACCTCATTTGTGGGCTTTCCTCTAGTAATCCTCTAGTGCCTTTCATGAGATGTAATCTCATGATTTAATCTTATAAAAACATCAGATGAAATAGAAAGTTTGTTTGGATAATGATTATAGAAATTCATTCATATGGAAATCTGATGACCCCACATTATCCTTTAACTGAAATCCTCTGAGTGAGTCTGATGCTTTCTTGGATGTAAACATTCTGACATGCCTATAAGTTAACTTATAAATATTTTGTACTTACTTTACAGGAAATGATTGTAATTGATTAAGTGACTTATAAAATATTATGCATCTTTTTTTTTTAGATGATGTTTATCTGGAAAAGAACATTCCACCAGAAACTGAAGAGCTGTCCTTTGAAGTATCTTATTCAGAAATGGTTACAGAGATTCCAAAAAGAAACAAATTTAAGAAGTCCGAATTTAAGAAAGAGGACTTCGCCTTAACTGTATGTAAAGCCTTTCATGATTATTCCAGTAACTTCCTGTAACTTTTCCATGGGACACACTAGTATTTAAAACAAAACAAAACCCACATCTGTGTGTAGAGGAAAGGTCAGGCATCGGTGTTGCATAACACCAGGGCACCATTTATTGTGCAGTGCACAGCCTGCCTAACAGGACTGGGTTGAGGAAGAGTTGTGAGGGTATACGCTTGAATACTGTTTTATAGAAGAAATAGGATTTCCTGGCTTGTGTGCTTTCATGCACTTTATATCCTTACTTTACTTATAGGTTAGTGCAGATTCTAACTGTATACCTAGTTGTGCCTCTAGAAGCCACATATCAGAAGGGGGTACTGCAAAGTCACAGTCATTACAATAAGAAGTGAGCACTTAATGGGACAGGTACTAAAAATTCATCAAATATAGACTCAAGAGTTTACATTATTATTATGGAATAGGCAAGTAGAGCTATAGACTTCATTATCCTGAAAGCCTCAGTATGTATGTATATATATCTCCAGGATATTCTCTCTTAAAAGCCCACTATAAGAAATATGTTACATTGATCTATTGGCTACTCGATAAATGCATTTGTGAAGCATTCATGATGTAGAGCCCTGAATATTCTATGCTGATCAGAGCTGGAGGCATGATGAGCAGGGCTCAGGCAGTTTCATGGCTAAAGGAATGGATCATATAGAAACTGGCAGAGTCTTTGCCTAGGTAGCCTAGACCGTTCCCAGACAACCTCCCCATGATGGAGGGGAGCAAGAGGGCAGAGCAAGAACTGTAAGACTCACTGAGTGCCTTCTACCAGCTTGATGCTGCATTAGGTATCCTCTTGTAATCACCCTGTGACTGCTCCCACTTTACAGCTGAGAAAACTGAGGCCCATGGGGTCCTGGGTGGCCCATGGGATGATTAAGTGTCTGACTTCAGCTCAGGTCATGATCTCACAGTCCATGAGTTCAAGCCCTGTGTCGAGCTCTGTGCTGACAGCTCAGAGCCTGGAGCCTGCTTCAGATTCTGTGTCTCCCTCTCTCTGCCCCTCCCCCGCTCACTGTCTCTCAAAAATGAAAAAAACATTAAAAAAGAAAAAAAGAAAACTGAGGCCCAAAGAAGTTAAGAAATACATCCAAAGCCCGTCAACAAATAGGAGGTAGAAACAGGATTTAAACCTCCATGTGTCAAACTCCAAAGCCCCTCCTGGTCCCTAAGCAGTTTCCATGTTGGTAGGGCATAAGAGTATTCTGGGGCAAAAAGGAAATCCAGTGAGACTCTGGTTTCAGGGGCATCCCTCCCAATCTTTAGGGAGAGTCATGCAAGAGAGGATGCTGGTCCCCAGTTCCCTCATCCAGGCTGTCTGTTGCCTTCTGAGATTTGGGTCATCTGGGGTGCAGGTCAGTCTCTGATGAAGAACTTTGCGTGGGATTTAGTAAGTGGTAATTACTCCATGAATAATTGCAGTTCTTGTCTCTATTGTTGTTGCTGTATATTACCGTTATGTGGGGCCTTGGTCTCAGAAAGAAGGTAAAACAGCTCAGCTTTTATAGGACAAGGTTGCCCCAAACCACATTCTGCATTTTATTGTTTTAATTTTAAAATACTTGAGGTTCCACAGAACAGTTGTTGACTGAATGAACGAATGCATGAATGAGTGGCTGGTTTAAAAACCTCAAGAAAGCTCTAATTGAGGGAGCCCCTATGGAGAACGTACAAAGATTTGTAATTGAAATAACTGGGATTTTTCTACTTTAGCATTTGTTTCAATAGCAGGTTTTTTGAGAACAAAGCATACTTGTGGTTATTATAGGAGAACAATCTCTCCTTTAAAAGGTCTTACTTGTTAGTCTTCACAAGTATTTTTGGATTGTCAAAGACTTTTTGTTTTCATTTTGCTGTATTTTGTTTCCTATTGTGGAAATAGAGAATATAGCAATATCATTGTCTCAAAACTTATAGGAGGATTATTTGGCACTTTCTATGTACTTTTCCTTTTTAGGAATATTTGGAGTCCTCTCCATTTGATTTTCAAGGTAGAGTAACTGCTGTCTCAGCAGGCATGTGCAGTGAGATTCAGTGGGGAGATTCGTTCGTCTTTTAGAGTTTGTAGAAGAAAACAGATTGTATCTGATGAAAGGACTGATGGTCCCCCACCCCCAAAAAGATACATCAAAAGCTCTTCTGGGAGCACTTAGCTGTTGTGCCTTATATTCCTGGGTCACATGTGCCCGTGGTAGGTACATTCCACATGGTGCCTGGGACATCAGTTGACAACAGAGGATGTCTCTTCGAAGAAACAAGTTTTCACGGTTGTGATGATAATGTTGTAGTACACTTCAGTCCACTGTTTTGTTCCTAATGTAGCACAAGAGCGTTCTGCAAATGTTCTAAAAACCATTCATAATCTTTCTATGACACAGCTTGCTCCTCACAGATTTCTTACAAGTAGCATGTTTTGCTATACAGATTTAGGATGCCCAGGTGACATTTAAATGAAGGGATGATACTTTTCCTTTGCCATAAAAAAATAAATATCCTCCATATGTATTGTAGAAATTTATTGTCCAGAAAACCAGATTCGGTCTAACTGAAGCAGGAGACCTGTCTTCTGAAGATATGAAGAAGATCCGCCATCTGTCTCTGATTGAACTGACTGCCTTTTTTGATGCCTTTGGAATCCAGCTGAAAAGAAACAAAACTGAGAGAGTAAAAGGACGAGGTAGTTAAGACAGGTTTCTTCTGATTTTAACTCTTTGGCGCACTGGAATAAGCGCTTTTCTGATTCTTTTTTCTTTCTTTATTGCACATTTTACAATGAAGACACTGGGATTTTTGGAGTTCCGCTCACAGTCCTGTTGGACAATGACCGAAAGAAGGATCCTGGAGTGAAGGTTCCCCTGGTGTTGCAAAAAGTGAGTGGAATGTAAATGAATGGGGAAAGGATAGAGCCTCATGCTGGCAGCTTGGTATCTGGAAACCCGCTGATGAGTTTTCTTTTAGATTTAGAGACACTAAAGCCCTCTTAAGCCTCAGGCCCTTGGTGATTTTCAGCTTTGCTTATTCATCCCCATAACATCCCCACAGCACTGGGGCCACTTTGCCTTGCTGTGAACTTGTGGAGCCTGTGACACTGTCTGACCTTAAAGCATCAGGTGATGGACACAGATACTCTGTACATGGCTTCCTTCTGTTATGTTTTCTCCAGTAGTTTCTAAAGGTTACTTGTCTGTGTTATATGTTAGTATTTGATTATTCTCTCTAGAATATAAGGTGACCATTAATTATCAGCTATTACATTGACTAATTATACAAGTATTTGCTGAGCTATCTCACAGGATGGCTGTTTTTAAATATGTATGTGTAATCATTTAAATGAATTCACCAAACAAAGCTTAATAAAGCCTAAAAATCAGCTTTTCTGGTGGTTTTTCAGGTATCACTAGGGAGATAGGGTATATTTAGACAAAGAAAAAGTTTGGTGGAAGGGAGTTTTGAAAAATGATATTATCTGAACTGTCATCTGCCAATATCTCTGAGACCATGATTGCTCAATACCTGATTTAAGTCATGTGTTTTATAGCCAACAATTTACTTGGGTTTACCCAAGTGTGCATTTATTCAACAGTGACATCCAGTGGCACATTTAAAATTCCAAGCCCTAAACACAAATCTTGTTGCATTTTAAATTGAGTTTTTAAGTAATATAGGAAAATAATTGACTGCAGAAGCATAACACTTCTCTTATTCACCATAACAATGCTATGTCCGTTTATTGTGTTCTCTCTGAACTTTGTTGCCAGTGCCTCAGATTGAGCTACTCCTGAAGTCAGGTGATTGATTGATTGATTGCTGCTGATGAAGACAGGGGATGATGATGAGAGAGAGCTAAAGGGTGCTGGTGATATGCCAGTGTGCACGGGGGCATCTGTAGGGCACCTCTCCTGCGTGGGTACCATCCATATCCTAGCGTGGGGAGTCAGCAGCGAGCAGCCAGAGGGGACTGTGTTTTCTACTGCTGAGGCCACCAAGGCACAAAAGGATAAGCTACCTTGCCCTTGAACACACAGCCAGCAAGGAGGAAGGGTCAGAGGGAGCACAGCGTACACCCACAGCCAAAGTCCATGTGACACTAAGATTTTCTTTCCTTCCTCGAAATAGAATTATGACTTCTGTCTTCTGTGTAAAGAACAGAGTTTGAAAACAATACGTAAAAAGTCTAAGACTGAGAAGATTCAACACATGAATTTATATTATTGTGTAGATGCAAAAACCTAGCACAGAACTTAGCAAATGGAAGGTGCACAATAAATGCTAGTTCAACTCAATCTGGATTTATACCATGTTAGCAACTCAATAAATGTTAGCTATTACTCCCCCTGTGGTCAGGAGTTCCTCATTGAAGACAGCTAGAGGTATTATTCGTCTACTCCTATGGGAGAGTCTTTTTTTATGGACATATTTCTTTGGCCTAAATATCCATTTCTCTCCATATCCTACAAGAACTACCTTAGTTCCAGGCACCATTATTTCTTGAAAGGAAAATAGCAGAGACTCTGGGTCCTCCTGTGTTGTGTGAATAGGGGCAAGTCCTTTACCCTTTCCATGCCTCAGTCTCCTCAGCAGTTGGTTGGGGGTATGGTTAGCACCTGCCTTATAGGATCAGTGTGAGGATTACATGAGTTAATAGATGCAAAGTTCTGAGAATGGGGTATCTGACACAGTAAGTGCACCATAAACATTAGGTATTATTATTACTATAACAGCATCATCATCATCATCGCCATGGGAACTCATGAGAGGTATAAACCTTTACAGTTTCTACCTCCTTGGTCATACTTCTAGGATTCCTGTAGTCTCTCAGCTAAACTTGTTGCATCTGATAATAGCAAATTTAGAATCTTTCCTATTGGTCCATCTGCAGAAAGAGATAGAGTAGTCAGATCTTAAAGTGGGCAAGTGGCCACCTACTTTAGTGGTCAAGAGCCATTACTTTTGAAGGTGGTCTTAGGAAACCCCTAGGAGGTTCTCAGTCTCCACTTCATTTGTAAATTGGAGGCTACTGTTGATTTCAGAGGCAGTTGTAAACATTGAACAAAACATTCAAGTACCAGTCACATATATATGCATGGTAATTTATTGATTGTTGTCACCATCATTATTATTTCAGATGTTTATAATTATATGGAGGTATTTATTTTTATAACATATCATTGCTTTCTAGTTTTTTGAGAAAGTTGAGGAATCAGGCCTGGAATCTGAAGGAATTTTTCGACTTTCTGGATGTACCGCCAAAGTCAAGGTACTGAACGTTTTCTCTCTTTCTATTTGGAGATCTAAGCCAGCTAGACCTGGTTCACACAGGCCCCAGGTTGCAAGTCCTCTGTTGTTGTTGTAGCTGTGTTGTTGTTGATAGGACCACTTGATCCTCGTGTTCCTGGATACCTATGATTAAATGTTTTATATCCTTTTAAATTAAAACAACAACACTAAAAAACCAACAACAGCGAAACAACATACCAATTCACCATCAAAAACTGCCGCTTATCTTTCTTTAGTTTGGAAAAGTTGAAATGTCCCAGCATTGTTTTCTGGGTTAAACATTTTAGTTGGCTATGTTCCTCTCAGTCATGGAATTTACCAACCCAATGTTACGTGAGCCCTGTTGCCATTATCAGTTGCTTTGAACTGAGAAACATTCTTTGGCTTTCCTTTTAATGAATGTCCTTATAAGAATATGTAGGAATGGTGGTCACCAGCGGAATAGTCAATCCGCCCAGTTCCATTTAAGGTGATGTTAATTTCTCCATATGAAACCACCCAGGTAACATGATTCCTTTTGCTTTGCTTTATTGCTTCTCTATAGTGGCAAACTGTACAGTACCATAATGGAAAGAAGCACTGAAAAGCTTTTCTTATAAATTTCCAGCAAGACCTTCCACTTAGTCTCTGGTGGTGGGGGTGCATCACAGGAAGGAGTCCCACTCTTCTCAGATCACTCCCTGGCTGGTAGACATGAGAACCTGAGCAGTTTTAAACAGTCAGTCCTTGAGTAAAAAAGTCTCAGGATGAGGGAAAAATTAACTTGGTTGCAGTGTGTAGAGGTAGAAGAGCATCTCTTCATTACTTCATTTTGGTACATGGTTTGGGCAATCCTATTTGTATCAGAAATCTCAGAGTTTTTATTTAGAGGTGTGATGAGCTGTTTTTGTCAGTTGAAACTGAAAATAAATAAGCTGTGCCTGTTGGAAGATTCTGAGGTGGAGTCAGGAGTAGAAGAGGGTTCTCTGGGCATAGAGTTGCTGCCGGACTGGGAAGGCCGTGCCTCAGACCAGATGCAGGGCTGATGCTGTCCTTCCCTGTTGCCCCACCTGGCAGAGGGGCCAGATGCCAGCTTCCGCACCGCACTCGGCCACTGCTGGGCTTCCTGTGAAGAAGGGGATGAGGCAGAAGAGCTGGTGTTAACTGTGGGGGGAGTCGGTTGGCTGGGAGTCACCTGCATTATTTTGTGCAGGTAATTCGTTTTGCAAGGGAGATCTGAGCAGTGCACCACACTTTGCCAGTGGCAGAAGGGATTAGGGCATTTTGGAGAGTTATAACCTCCCTGGGAATGGGGATTGCTAAGTGCTGGCACAAGGTCATTTGAAAGGCAAGAAAAATCCTAATGACTCCTCAAGATTTATTCTTTCTTTGTTTTTATGTTTATTTATTTTGAGAGAGAGAGAGACAGAGCACAAGCAGGGGAGGGGCACACAGAGATAGAGAGAGAAAGAGAGAGAGTCCCAAGCAGGATCTGTGCTGTCAGTGCAGAGCCCGACAAAGGGCTCAATCTTGCAAACTGGGAGATCACGACCCGAGCTGAAATCAAGAGCCAGATTCTTAACCAACAGAGCCACCCAGTTACCCCATGGTTTATTATTCCTAAATTGAGTCTGCTTTTTGTCTCAGGTTCTGATGGGTATGGTTCTTATATGTACCCTGAATCAGAGAATGAAAGTTGTCATATCTGTTGGGTCAGAGAACCAAAGGAAAGTCAGGGAAACAAATTTCCTAGACACAATTAGAATTCATTCCCCTAAACCTCTCTCCATAATTGGGAAGCTGCATTTGCACATTCTTCCTGGCCTCTGTGTGTGTGTGTAAAACATAATGGAAATGATTTAAAATTTTTTTTTCAAAATAATCAAAAGGAGTCAGCCTTACACAACATCTGTTGTGTGCACGAAGTTTAACACCATAGCACAAGTTACTTTTCTTTAGCTAATCTTTGACTGAAAAATGCTTGCCAGAGGCTAATAATCCCTTCAAGAGTGTTCTTACAGGCACATGCATTCCTGAACCACATTTAGGGAAAAGTCCCTTTTCTCCCCTAATCGGGTTTATGTAGTTTCAGCCTATTTCTTCCATCTCTTATTAGTCTGAAAATGTAATCCAGATGTTTTCATGGTTTGAGCTCCAGGAAAACCAATGTGAAAGAAATCTGGGCCAGCGAACAGAAACAGGGGACTATCGTAGTTAGAAAGACATTGTAACTTGATATATTAAAGGGGTCTTTATTTCTCTCCTTTGTTCAAACTTTAAACTACTTTTGTAAGTTCATCTGTTAGACTAGTTTTTCTAGGAATGTGCTTCGGGAAAGACAGTTAAAAAACCCTCCATTATAATTATCCTCGAATTGTGCCAAATGGATGATGCTAACACTAACGTATCGTTATGAACAATCCAGCCCAGGTTTGTGCTTTCAGGGCCTGGTGAGACGAACAGGGACACAGCCCTGGGGGGCAGCTGCTAGCTTTGACCGCACAGGAAACAGCAGTGGAGCCCATTTCTGTATTTGAGGCCTCAGATCATTTGGAACCAATTTAATGCTTTGGTGTTTCCAATGATTTTCTTTTCCAAAAATGACAGAAATTTGAGCCAAACACTAGGGAATACATTTTATGGAAGAAGGCAGACTGTTTGACATGCGAGGTTCTCTTTTTTTGTGACTAGCTGCTCTCAGTGTTTCATAATTATGTTACGTGGTCTGCTAGTTTCCCTTCCTGATCTGGTTTTTGAAGCTGAAGGTGGGTCATTTACATTTTCATAAAACAGCCTCTGAAATGGAAGCAGGTTGTATATTTGCTCAGAGCAGATTTAAGGACGTGGCATCTGACCCTTGCCTAGTTTTCTCATTAACACTGGACAGAAAACATGACTTCTTTAAACTTTAAATGCTTCCTGTCTTTGGCAAACTAAATCCAACGCCTGGTTTATATGGCTTCATGTTTAGGACCGCCGTGGAAATGTTAGCTCTGCCTCTATGTCCCTCAGTTTGCTTTAGTCAGAAGGAAGAGAGGACATTCTTTCTCTCAGTTTTGTTTTATACTAGCCATCCAGACAAGATGAAGAGATACTATGACCCAAATAACTGCATATGCATGGGCTTCCCATAGTAATAATACTAAAGGTTATTACAGACCAACAGGAGGGGGGAGTTACGAACAGCCAGCATTTATTGAGTGCTTCCTGTGTGGCGGGCCCTCTCCCCTGAGCTTTACGTTGTATGATCTGATTTAATCTGTGAAGTCATTTCAATATCCCTATTACACAGAAATGTGGGGCACAGGCCTTAGAATTAGTCAGTTGTAGAACTGGGAGGAAAACCTAAAGAGTCTGGTCATAGAGCCTGTTCTTGGTTCTGGAGCCATGTTGCCTCTTAAGCCGCAGGGAACAGCTGACAGGTTAGAATGGTAGTCACGTTACGTTTCAGACAGCTTCCTACAGCAGAGGGACGTGGGAGATGAATTTGAATTATTCTGTTCACGCTGGTGCTTCCTGTCTCCTTGAAATCTGTTTCCCCTTTGCTTTGTGTGGCAGTGGCACCAGGCAGTGGATGGAAGTCATTTGCTGCTTTCCCTGGCCTTCTTGTTAACACCACCTCCATCTACCCATGACGCAGGCTCGCAATCAGAGTCATCTTGGACTGTTAAGTCTCCTCTGAATAACCCATCACTGATTCTTGAGAATTTTCTCTCTCAGGCATTTCTTCAGTGCCACCTCTCCTTTCTGTCTTCTGGCTGCTTATCCAGGTTAGTCCTCCATTTTCCAGGAATGGTGCCATGGCCCAGTAGTTAGTCTCCTTGCTTCTAGTCCATTCCCCAGTCAGCACCAAGCTCTATTCTCCTCCAAATCACTTTCCCATCTGGTTGTCAGAAAAGATAAGTCTCACCTTGTTGTTCTCTTGCTCGGACATGTTCCTTGTTGCCTCATGGCCCATGGAATAAAGTTCAGTCCCCTGAGGGTCGGCTCTGGATTGCCCCCAGCCTCAACTCTCTCTCTCTCCTCCTTGCCCGTGATGCTTCAGCAACACTGAACTAACTGGAGTTCCCCAAACACAGTGGGTCTCCTTGCATGTGAACCACCACTAGAGCGCTTTCTGCTGTCTTGGAGTATCCTTCTGTTTCTTCTTCCCCTGACAAGCTCCTCAGACTCGAGAGCTGGCCTGAGAAGAGTTAGATTCTCCTCTTTCATGGCTGCAGTGCATCTAGTATGTGCTCTGAGTTACATCGTGAACTCACAAGACCGTCCCATTCACTGGACCACAAGATGCCCAAAGGCAGAGAATGGATCTCATGCATCCTCCTCTTACCAGATCCCAGTCTATTCTCTACTTCTTTTATTCTAGGAAAGCCTTTATATGTATGCTTCAGTGCTTTACAGAGTGTATTTATCAGCAAAACATTGCTTTATTTGCTCTATTATTCCTATTAGATTGAGAGCTTCTCAAGGACAAGAAAAAAAATCTCCTTTTGCTGTCATTAGTAAGGGCTAGAGGGTGGCTTGGAATCATGTCTGTCTCTGTAAGGAATGTGTCCTGCCAGAGTGTCCCCAGTGTTGCGGGCTCGGGGAACGATGAGAGCATTAGTGTCTGGGCTGGTTAATGAGCAGCAACTTGGTTGGGAAAGGTCGGATGCGCAGACTGACTCTGACTGTGTGTGACTCAAAGCACTCGGTAAATAAAGCAGAGGGCTCAAAGAAACTGAGGGTTTTCAAAATTCTCTCTTTGGAGTAGTGTCCGTTGGGGAACTGACCACAACTACCTAGTATTAATAGGCAGACTCTGTATGTAGTTCAAGGGGTTAGTAGGATATGAGTTGGGCTTTGAAAAAGAATCGTGGAGAATGGTGGCACTGATAATCAAATGAATCATAAGAAAATTTATAACCCAACTAAAACTTAGGGAGGCTTAGTAATTTTTTTAAAGTACTTACACAGTGTTCCAAACCTTATGAAGGATTGGGCAAGCATTCAAACATGTGGAAGACATGGCTTAAAACTTCACTGTAACTGCTCCAGGATGAGGTCATTGATTTGCATGTTGCAGTGAGGTCAGAGTTCCTTTATTGGGATATTTTTTGTTCTGCATGAGAACTAGTTGAGAGGCATACATTCTTGTTCTAATTTAGAAGTAGATGACAAGGATGGCAGAAAGAAGAGATTATGACAAAAAGAAAGGGTAGTGAAGGCTTTGTCAAATCAGTACATTTATCCTGTGGGGATAGGTGATATTCTGCCAAAACCACAGAAACAAAAAACTTGAGAGAGAGAGAGAGAGAGTGAGAGACTGTACGTGCACACATGTGTGCATGGGGGAGGGACAGAGAGAGAGGGAGAGAGAGAATCCCAAGCAGGCCCTATACTGTCAGCACAGAGCCCGACATGGGGTTCTGTCTCACAAACCATGAGATCATGACCTGAGCTGAAATCAAGAGCCAGATGCTTCATCGACTGAGCCACCCAAGGGTCCCAAGATTAACCTTATTCTTTTCTTTTTTTTAAATGTTTATTTATTTCTGGGAGAGAGAGAGCAAGCAAGTGGAGGAAGGGAAGAGAGAGACACACACACACAGAATTCAAAGCAGACTTCAGGCTCTGAGCTGTTAGCACAGAGCCTGACGCAGGGCTCAAAACCACAAACCATGAGATCATGACCTGAGCCAAAGTTGGGTGCTTAACCGACTGAGCCACCCGGGCGCCCCATATTAACATTATTCTTAAAAGGTTTTAGAAGAATTCATTCAGAAATAGCTATTTCAGTTCATTAATTATGTTGAAAAAGTAAGGCTTTGGAGATGTTGGCTTTTCAGTCTGTTTACAAAAATAATTTATGTAATGACAGTTTTTATAAGGGAAAAAGGGGGTCAGGTGGTAAAAAAAAAAAAAACGCCTTGAATGTTGACTGTTTTTCTTGATTTTCAGCAATACCGTGAAGAACTGGATGCCAAGTTTAATTCTGATAAATTTAAATGGGACAGAATGTGCCATAGAGAAGCTGCAGTAATGTTGAAAGCATTTTTCAGAGAACTACCCACCTCTCTCTTCCCCGTGGAATATATACCTGCCTTCATCACTCTAATGGAAAGTAGGTAGAAGAAGTTAAGTGTGAATGGACTAACATATCAGGTCAATAAAGTGCCACAGAGCAGAAGAAAAATGCATAATCACATGTGGTCGTAAATGTACAGATTTGCCATTTCCTGGAAGTGCTTAGTGAAGTATTGAGTTCGATGGTAGACAATCATCTCTTTTCATATTTATATATTAAGTTTGGTAGATAAAAGTTAGAGGGTTTTGTAATTGTTAAAAGAGAAGATGTTGAAAGTCAGGCTCTTGAGATTTGAATTCGTGCTCAGCCATCTGTTAGCCATGTAATCAACCTTTCTCAGCTTCATTGCTGTACCTACAAATTACGTATAATAATTGCTTGTCAGGGTTGATATGGTTATTGAATGAAGACATCTAGAATTGTGCCTCATGTGTAATAGTCCTTCCAAATATAGAAGGTCTCTCCCTTCTTTAAATCTGAAGTCCTGGGTTTGATGATGTGTAACACACAATATAGGCTACACAGAAGATGTTTTGTCTCTGAAAATTACAATATCACTATAGTGTTTTTGAAAATTACAGTCCCCTAGATTAGGCCTTAAGTGAGGAATTTGGATAAAAGCATGGAAACTGGAAAGTGTGTGTTGTATTTGGCAGTGAGGGAATAATTTGGCATGGTTTCAGCCTCAGGGTTGACTATTATAGAAATGTGACAAAAGAGAAATTTAGGAAAGTAGAATGGGGCTACATGATGGGGGCTTTGCCTGCTAACCTGAGGAACTCGGGGGTCACAAGCCTAACTGTGTACAAACCTTAAATAAATGGCAATTCCACATGGACAGAAAACACCAGGGACAAACAGAAAGGACACACCCCATATAAAGAGGTTGGCCACTGCTCAACTCTAGATAATGGTTACCATGCGGGAGTGAGAGCCAAAATCCACACTTTAATGGGGAAACTGTTAATTTGAAAATATCAGCCACAGATTCAAATGTGAAAACACTGTGTGAGCCTAACAAATGATATCTATATCTGCCAGTTTACAGCTTTCTGCAGGTTTACCAGAAGTATAAAATCCTTAAAACCACCAGAAAGAAAATAATGGCCAGGTTCTAATTTTGATGACAAAACTTGTCCTAATATTAATAGGTTCTAGGTCTGTAAAAATTTTAACTAAACCAGATTCGTAATATAATCCTTTGGGTCTTCATAGAAGAGAATAAGATAGGCAAGGCAGGTTTTTTTCTTAAGCTTTAATTCACATGCCATCTGTGACCAGTATCTCTTTTCTTCGTATGAGGTAGTGTTTTGTTTTATGAGAGAAACTCTCAAAGAGCTTCATTTTTTTGTGTTTCAGATACTGTGTTTTGTCAGTTGTAGAGTTTCTAGTTGGTGCTTTTCTAAAATTGAATTATAGTTAATACACAGTGTTATATTAGTTTCAGGTATACAGTGTAATTATTCAATAATTCCATACATTTTTCAGCACTCATCATGATAAGTGTACTCTTAATCCCCTTTATATTTTTCATCCCTTCCCTGCCCACCCCTCTCTGGCAACCACCAGTTTATTTTCTATATTTAAGAGTCTGGTTTTTTGTTTGTCTCTCTTTTTCTGTGTTCATTTGTTTAGTTTCTTAAATTGCACATGAGTAAAATTATGTGACCCTTTTTTTCTCTGACTTATTTCACTTAGTATTATATGCTGTAGATCCATCCATGTTGTTGCAAATGGCAAGATTTTGTTTTTTTATGGCTGAATAATATTCCATTGTATGTATATATGTATATACATACACACATGGTATACATCGAATGTGTATATACACATACATGCACACATCACATCTTTATTTTATTTTATTTTTCACACCACATCTTCTTTATCCATTCATCCATCAGTGGATGCTGGGGTTGCTTCCCTGTCTTGGCTGTTGTAAATAATGCTGCAATAAACATAGGGGTGCATATATCTTTTCGAATTAGTGTTTTTATCTTTATTAGTTGAATACTGGAATTATTGGATCATATGGTATTTACCTTTTCAATTTTTTTAGGACCCTTCATGCTGTTTTCCACAGTGCCTGTACCAGTTTGCATTCCCATCAGTAGTGCACGAGGGTCCCTTTTCCTCCACATCCTTGCTAACACTTGTAATTTCTTGTGTTTTTTATTTTAGTCATTCTGACAGGTGTAGGGTGATATCGCATTGTGGTTTTGATCTTCCATTTCCCTGATGATTACTGATGTTGAGCATCTTTTCATGTGTCTGTTGGCCATTTTTATGTCTGTATGTCTTCTTAGGGAAATGTCTATTCAGGTCCTCTGCCCATTTTTTAAATCAGATTATTTGGGGTTTTGGGGGGTTGGGTTATATAAGTTCTTTATATATATTTTGAATACTAACCCCTTATCATATATACCATTTGTAAATATCTTCTCCCATTCAGTTGGTTGCCTTTTTGTTTTGTTGATGATTTTCTTCACTATGCAGAAGTATTTTATTTTGGTGTGGTCCCAATAGTTTAATATTGCTCTTGTTTCCCTTGCCTGTGGAGATATATCTAGAAAAGTGTTTCTATGGCTGATGTTAAGAGATTACTGCCTGTGCTTTCTTCTAGAATTTTTATGGATTCAGGTCTCACATTGAGGTCTTCAATCCATTTTGAGTTCATTTTTGTGTATAGTATAAGGCAGGGGTCTAGTTTCATTCTTTTTATGTGACTGTCCAGTTATCCCAGCACCATTTGTTGAAGAGATTATCTTTTCCTCATTGGATGTTTTTGCCTCTTTTGTCCTATTCTTGCCTCCTTTTTAAGTATTTTCTTTTTTTTTTTTTTTAACGTTTATTTTTGAAGGAGAGAGATACAGATAGTGAGTAAAGGAGGGGCAGAGAGAGAAGGAAACACAGAATCCAAAGCAGGCTCCAGGCTCTGAGCTGTCAGCACAGAGCCCAACTCAGGGCTTGAACCCACGAACTGTGAGATCATGACCTGAGCCAAAGTCAGACACTCAACCGATTGAGCCACCCAGATGCCCCTAAGTATTTTCTATTTATTTGCTGAGATGGCCTATCTTTTCATTCATTATCAGAATACTTTCCTTCACATCACTGAACATAGTTATGATAGATGCTTCGGAATCCTTGTCTGCTAATCCCCACAGATGTGGGTCATCTCAAGGTTGGTCTCTGTTGATTGTCTTTTCCCTTGAGAATGCACCACTCTTGCATGTCAAGTAAATTTAAACTGTATCCTGAACAGTGTAAGTATTGTGTTTTGGAGACTCTGTGTTCCATAATTTCCCCAAAGAGTGAGGTTTGGAGTTCTGTTATGGTTTTTGTCATTTGTTTGTTTGTTTGTATTTAAGCCAACCATTTATTTCGACCCAAATTGAACTCAAATTGCCAGTGGTCTTTTGGAAGCAGCTCAACCATCAGTCTAGTTATTTAATCCTTACCTGTGCTACTCCATACATTCTTGGTTTAGGTCAGCCAGGACTTTATACCAGAATCAGGGCCTTTGCCCATAATTTCCCAGTGGTTGCAGGCATCTTGAATCCTGTCTTTTAGCTGTTGAGGACAGAAAGACTGGAGTTTTCTTTTGGAGCTTTAGCTACCTCATGCAATACTGACTATAGCCTGACCTCAGACTAAAAGCTAGAGAAGTGGGAAACTCTCCCTGTGCCATTCTCTAATTCCAGGTGTCCAGTCTTCTGAATCTGCCTGCTTTTATTAATTCTCCACTGCCTTAGGGAGTTGTTTTTTGTATTTTGTCCAGCGTTTATAGTTCCCTTCAGGAGGATTGGTCAGGAAGGAGCTTACTCAGCCATACAGAAGCAAGAGTTCCTCCCTCCAGTTTATAAGCCCCCCAAAATAGGATTTTTTGCATAGTTTGCTCTCCTGGAAAATGGGCTGCAGAAGTATTATCTTTACTTTAATCTGTTGTGTATATACTAAATAATTTCGTTAAAACAAAGTGGTGCCACAGAGGATTTTATTGTGTTTGTGGCTTCTTGGTATTATAAAATTATGCCAGATCTGGTCAGAGAATCCTATTAAGAAAGGTATACAAATACACTAGTTTCTGTAGCATCATTGTTCCCCATCTGACCGCAGCCAGTATACCTCATTGAAAGGGAGAAAATCTGGAAAATATCCTGAAAAGGTTCACAGAGGAGTCCACGTTTCTTTGTGTGACTTTGAAAGTGAAACATACTATGTTGCAGTGATTGATTTGATAGCAGCCGACCCCGCAGGAAGCCCAGAGTTCTGGACTCCTACCAGCAGGGAAAATGGCCTTTTTGCTACCTTAGTGTAAGCTCTAGTTATAACGAGATTTTCTGAAGGAAGAAATTGTGGATACGTGTGTTTAAGCTGCCATTCTTTATTCTCTAAAACGGGGTTTGGAGAATGTAATCGTTGAGTGTGATTGCTTTCTCTTCCCAAACTCGGCCCCAAAATTGTCCACAAAATTAAAACACTAATAGTTCATCCATCAAGTGGTAGATGCTTTTATGAAAAGTTTAATAACTTCCTGGGAAAATAATCCTAACCAGGGTGCAGTAAATGAATTAACTACAAAACGGTTAACCACGAATGGTGTAGGGACAAGTTACCTAAATAAAATGAAAATAGATTATTTGCCAGTTTGCAGAGTTTTAGTCTTAAAAGTATTTTCATAATTGCTCTGAAATTAGTAGAAATACAGAACCTGCAGCTGCATTTGTTGCTCCCCCAGCCAGCCAAAGAACACTTTTGGTTGCATGAGAAGATTAGCCTGCAGTTTATGCATTAAAATAATGCCTTATGTGTCCCTCAGTGCTTTATACTGAGATATGCTCCTGATAGCTCCTATTAATCAGGTAAACTCACATCAGTGTACATTGGCCATTTTCAAAAACATCCTGAACCTGTGTCATTCTTGTTTACAAGTTTTACATAAATTTCCAAAAATCCACATGGGGATTATGCCAAGAGAATGATACAGCCCTATAATAATGTTCCCAACTGTTTGTCTGTTACATGATTATATACATTAGTCATCTACTGCTAACTAGGATGTGCACCATCTCCTGTAACCCAGTAGCTTGTCACAAGAGTGTTTCCACTGCTGTAAAGCTAAGTAGCTTTACAGGCAGTTGACTACCTTTTATCCACTGAATATAAATAGATTTTCCTTCAACTTGAAAACTCTCCAGGGATGCTAGAACATAATGCTTCCCTTCAGGAACTCCCCACCAAGAGACCATTGTGAAGAGAATACAGAGAGACAAAGAAAAGCCTAGAATGCTCTGATATGCTCTACATTTTCAGCACAGCTGGTTGTGGATTATCCAGTTGTGGATGGAATCCCTAAAATTCTTTCCCTAAAACGGGGAAAAAAGCCAGCTTTGAGAATACTCAAGTATGAATGCCAGCCCTCTGGCGCCATCTTCTGTCATTACCCAGGAATAAAATACTCAAGAATCTCTGGAGATCCAACTGTAGATCTAGAATAAGTGTCATTAATCATAATAAAAAGAACGGACACATACAGAGGTAACTATGTACAGGCATTGATGCAAACGCTATACATACTCACTCATTTAGTCTTTGTAACAACCAAGTGAGGTAGGTATGACTACTCCCATTTTACAGATGGTAAAATGGTAGCAATGAGGGCTTAAATAGCCTGCCCAAGGTCATTCAGTAACTAAGTAGTAGATGCAGGATTTGAACCTGGTTCTAGAATCTGTGCTCCTAATAATTATACTTTGCTGCCTCATCATGTGGAAACAAGATTTACTTTCTGTTGACTTGAGCTTTTAAACCTTCTGTTTATAGCATACAAGTAAAGCAGGGCCACTGGAAGTACTTTGAAAAGGGAAATGTTATACAAATCTGGAATTATTTTTGAGGCTCTCACTGGCCACCTGTCTCTACAGTGGCATCATGGGATGTGAAAAAGGAGTTGATAGACTGAGGCTCTTGTCCAGGTTAACAAATTTACATTGTTGGGCACAAAACCTGAGTCTTTACCACTGAAAGCTGTCAGGAGCCCTCCTGTGCCACCAGATGTTAGGAAGAAATGCTGTCAGAATGCTTCAGTGTCGTTCAAAATGTGTGGTTATTTCTGTTTTCTTGTTAGGAGGGCCTCCCATCAAAGTACAGTTTCAAGCTTTACACCTCATGGTCATGGCACTGCCCGATGCCAACAGGGACACAGCTCAGGTATGTGGTATCAACCTCATGGTCTGTGATTGGCCCTTCTTAGAGAAAATGGTTCAGATGGAAAAATGGAACCCAAGATGACAACTGACTAAGCCAGCTCAGCACACTGCCAACCTATAATTGTCTTTGCGCATTCCCACTGGTGTTCTCTTGAGGAAGGCAGGAAAGAATGTAAATCCTGGAATCTTCTTTGAACATTTCAGTTCTATTCATTCAATCCATTAAGAGGTACTGAGTATCTGTCTAGTGCCCGGCACCAGGCTAGGGTTAGCAGGAGGAGAAGCACGTAATGTTAGAAGTAAATGAGACCATTATGTAAGCTGCAGAATATAAAACTCTATAAGCTGCTCACTCCAGTCTAGTGGCAAAAGATCCAAGGAGTGTACTCATGGAGGAAATTTGAAATCACTGATTTAAATGAAATTTGTAAAATGTTTGGGTCTTAAAGTTTACAAAAATAATTTAATTAAAGAATCCTAAGATCTTGGAATTTTGGAAATCACCTGATAGGGTCTCCTCATTTTACAGATTAGGAAAATTAGACTCAGAAAAATAATTTCTCCATTAATATATAATAGAACATGTAATCGAATCATACTCCATTATTCTCCCGAATATTCTTTGCTTTATTTCAGATTTATTTCTTTGCTGTATGTTGGCAAAAATCAAAAGGTCCTCTTGTTATTTTGTAATGATTCTGTATGCAGTGGGAAATTTGTTATAAGTACAACAGGTGTTTGGAATCTTTGAAATGAAATTGAGTTAAGATGAGCCGGAAAGAGCCCGTAATTTTGAGGCCAGTAAACATAACGCTTGAAAACAAAGGTGATTCTTTCTGCTGCCTCTTATCAGACATTTCAATTTGGTGAGGACCTTTCCTCCCACCTAATAAAAATATCTAGGTCAATTATAATGTATGTCAATTATATCATATCCTCAGCCCAAGGATGGGAATTGGATATGACATAAGAATGTCTGTGTCTAATGTAATTCAATAATTTTTCAAAAGCTGGAAATTTATTAGCTTGTTTTTGGGGTTTCTGTTCAACAATGTTCTTTTATATATAAAGGGAAAAAAGGATGCATCTGCTATCAGATATTTTGTTCAGAAACAAGTAATTCGATACTTTTCTAACAAGATCCTCAAAAACATCATGGGACTGGTGAAGAGGTTACACATACACACACACACACACACACACACACACACACACACATTTTTTCCCACTCTACAGTGTGACTGGATCTAGGATTGAAGCTGGTGTGGTAGAGGTCAAGAGCTCTGACTCAAGAATTAGATTTCCTCAGGTCAAATCCTGGCTTTGCCACTTACTTAATTCACACTGGGTGAAGCTACTTTAATTTTTTCATTAGCTTCCTCATCTGTCAAACAGAATTAATAATAGTACCCACTTCACAGGGTTTGTAATGATGACAAAGTCAGTGATATGTATGAAGTATTAAGAATAATGCTTGGCTCACAATAAACCCTCAAATTAATGTTAACTATTAATTACTATTATGTGCTACCCATTTTCTCATTAAGAATACTACAGCAGATTCAAACTTGAAAAACTAAAGAATATCTTTTATTCTCTTTTCTTTCTTTTTTAAAGATTTCAGCCCTCTTGGTGAATTTCAGACGGTTCTGATAAGTATCTGTACTTTGGTGGCTTAGCCAAACTTTAAGCTTTCTCAAATCTCCCCCCCTCTCTCTCTCCCTCTCTCTCTCTTTTTAAATGGCAAGAACAACTTCATGTAAGCATTTCCCTTTGGTCTGCTGAAGATTTGAAAACTGAAAAGCATGGAAAAATGACCCCCAGAAAGTAAAATTTTTTAATTTTTCAATTGAGTTTACATTTGGACTGACTAATGAGATACACATTTTTTTTTTTAATGGGTTTTCCTTTCCCAAGGAAACAGTAAATAGTTTTCAATGACAATGCTTTAAATTAAGGTGTTTTTAGGGGTTCCGGGTGGCTCAGTCGGTTAAGCATCCAACTTTGCTTGGGCTCAGGTCATGATCTCACAGTTCATGGGTTTGAGCCCCACATCGGGCTCTGTGCTGACAGCTCAGAGCCTGAAGCCTGCTTCAGATTCTGTGTCTCCCTCCCTCTCTGCCCCTCCCCTGCTCATTCTCTCTCACTGCCTCTCAAAAATAAATAAACATTAATTTTTATTTTAATTAAGGTGTTTTTAAGGATTCCTTTTCTTCCTTCATAACAACACTTCACTTCATGTTTACTTGAATTGCAGTGTTTCCTCTTCCCGGTTTTACTACATAACTTTAATATTTGTCAACCTCATTTTGGATAAAGAAAATAAAACAATGCAAACTTTTACTTAGTCATGCTATATAGCCATGCTGTAGTTGTGACAGTTTTCTAGAGGGCACCGTGAACGGGTATAGAAATGAATGACGGCACCTAGTGGTGCCTTTTGATAATCTACAGTAGTGTGACTGCTGTTTCTTGCTAGGCCCTCATGACATTCTTCAATAAAGTGATTGCCAACGAATCAAAAAACCGAATGAGTGTATGGAACATTTCTACTGTAATGGCACCAAACCTTTTCTTCAGTCGAAGCAAACATTCTGATTATGAAGAACTACAGTTAGCAAACACTGCAGCCCACATCATCCGCCTAATGCTTAAATACCAAAAGATTCTGTGGAAGGTGAGTAACGGTGTGATGACTGTGATGTTTTCTTTGGAAGTCCACCAGCACCCAGGAAATGTAAAGACTCCACGAGCGAGCGATACCCTTAGTCACAGGAGGAAATATGAGAAGATCGTCCCAGGCTGCCTGTGGCATCTTTGTAAATACTTTCATGACTGTTCCTGAATATGTTTCCCCTCTTAGACAGGAGTGCTTCTCATTTTCTCTAAAATGTGAAGACAAATGCCACAGTCTGTTTCCAGGATACTGAGTGGCCAGAAGGAGTTACCATAACTGAAGATGGAGTCTGCCGGGGAGTTTTAATCCAAACACTTTCCTTTCGATTCAAGTAGTGTTTCTTCTCCAGGTTCCATCTTTCCTAATCATGCAAGTCAGAAGAATGAACGAAGCTACGATGCTGTTAAAGAAGCAGCTCCCAAGTGTCAGAAAGCTGCTGAGGAGGAAGACCATAGAACGAGAGGTAATGGCAAGAAACTAAGGGCGCAAATGTTGTTACTGCCCAGGTTTTTATTCCTCAAAGCATAACACAAAGTAGCTTGTAATTTATAACCAAAATATTCTCACAAAATATCAGTCTTGTGACCATAAACATTATGGAAATGGTGTTCATAACAGAGTACTGTGGTCTTCCCATTTTGTTGAAATATGTGCTTCTGGTTTAAGTTCTTGAAATAGGTCTATCTGGAAGATTATTTAATACTCTGTGAAGTACTTAAGTCTAAAATGGTTCTCACAAAAGATAAAAGTCAACCTTTTAGTCCCGTGTGAGCTAGAATTAGGGCATTCCAGTATCTAGTATGTCTAATAAATAGAGAACGATTTCTCTAGTGATTGGATAATAAAAGAATATTTACTCTTCAAGATTAGTCTTTAATCTTCATTGCATTTCAAAGAATTTTTGCTTTAGCATAGTTTGTGTAACAAATAAACAACTGTATTGAGATACAATCCTCATATCATACAGTTTTTTATTTACAGTGTAAAATTCAATAGTTTTTAGTATATTCACAGATATGTGAAATCATCAATGCAATCAACCTTAGAACATTTCATCACCTGAAAAAAAATACCATACCCTTTGGCTATCATCGCCCTAGGCACACCTCTACCATTTCCTCCTGCCAGTCCTAAGCAACAGCTTATCCACTTTCTGTTTCTATAGAGTTCCCTATTCGGGACTTTTAATGAATTAAGTCATCTAATATGTGGTCTTCTGTGACTGGTATATTTTCTTTAGCATTATATTTCATGGTTCATCCATGAACCATGGCCAAACAGTATTCCATTATATGGATTTCCACATATCTTTTTATCCATTCATTTATTGATGGACACTTGGGTTGATTATACTGTTTGCTTATTATGAATAATGCTGCTACAAACGTTTTTAAGTTTATATGTGGACATATGTTTTTACTTCTCTTGGGTATATGCTGGGTAATAAAGCAACTCTCTATGTTGAGTCATCTGAGGAACTGCCAGACTGTTTTCCAAAGCAACTGCCCCATTTTTACATTTTGACCAGTAGTGTGTGAGGATTTAGATTTTTCCATATCCTCACAAAAACTTATTATCAGAAAGTTTTATTCTAGCCATCCTAGTGGCATAGAGTGGTACCTCATTGTGGTTTTGATTTTCATTTCCCTGAAAACTAATGATGTTGAGCGTCTTTTCATGTGCCTGTTGGCCATTTGTGGATCTTCCTTGGAGAAATGTCTATTTAGCTTCTTCCCCAATTTTTGATTCAGTTGTCCTTTTACTATTAAGTTGTAGGGGTTCTTCATATATTCTAGATACAAGTCCCTTATCAGATGTATGATTGGAAAATATTATTTCCCCTTCCATGGGTTGTCTTCTCAATTTCTTGTTTGTGTCCCTTGATGCACAAAGGTTTTTAGTCATGATGAAGTATAATTTACCTATTTCTTTTGATGGTCATGTTTTTGTTGTCATATCAAACAATCCTTTGTCAAATCTAAGGTCATGAAGATTTGAACTCTGTGTTCTTCCAGGAATTTTCTAGTTTTAGTTTTCACATTTACATCTTTCTTCCATTTTGAGTTATTTGTAGTATGTAATATGAAGTAGGAGTATACAAGTTCTTTCTTTTGCATGTAGCTATCCAGTATCTCAGCATCTTTTGTTAAAAAGACGAATCTTTCCCCCAACAAATGGTCTTGACACTATTGTTGAAAATTGACCATAGATGTAGTAATTTCCAGACTCTTACTTCTGTTACATTTATCTATATGTCTCTCCTTATGCCAACAACACACTGTCTTGATTACTGTAGCTTTGTTTTAAGATTTGAAATTGAAAATTAAGAGTTCCAACTTTTTCTTTTAAATAACTTTTGTTATTTGGGGTCCCTTAATTTCCATATCAGGTTTAGGATCAGTTTTCTCATTTCTGGAAGAAAAAAACAACAGTAGTTGGGATTTTGATAGAGATTTCATTGAATATGTAGATAGATTTGAGAAATATTGCCATCTTAATAATATTACATTTTCCAGCCCATGAAAATGGGTTATCTTTCTATTTATTAGGTTTTCTATAATTTATATTAACAATGTTTTATGGTTTTCGATATATAAGTCTTACACTTTCTGGATTACATTTATTCCTAAGTATTTTATTCTTTTTGGTACTATTGCAAATGGAATTGTTTTCTTTTTCTGTTTTTAATGTTTATTTATTTTTGAGAGAGAGAGAGAGACAGAGCATGAGCAGGGGAGAGGCAGAGAGAGAAGGAGACACAGAATCTGCAGCAGGCTCCAGTCTCTGAGCTGTCAGCATAGAGCCCAACGCCGGGCTTGAACCCACAAACGGCGAGATCATGACCTGAGCCGAAGTCGGACACTTAACTGAGCCACCGAGGTGTCCTTGGCATTGTTTTTCTTAATGTCATTTTAGGATGGCTAATTGTTTGTGTATGGAAATACAACTGATATTTGTATATTGATCTTGTATTCTGCAGTTTTGCTAAACTCATTTACTGGCTCTAAAAGTTTGGTTTTATGTGTATTAATTCTTTAGGATTTCTACATATAAGGTCATGTTATCTGTGAATAGAGATAATTTTCCTTCTTTCTTCTCAGTCTTTGTGCCTTTTATTTTTCTTGCTTAATTATCCCGGCTAGAACTGCAGTAGAATATTAAATAAGAAGACAAGAGCAGAGATCATTGTTTTGTTTCTGATCTTAAGGGGAAAGCCCAGTCTTTCATCATTAAGTATGATGTTGTATGTGGGTTTTTCATAGATTGCCTTTATTGGTTTGAGAAAATTCCATTCTTTTTTTTTCTTACATTTTTAAAATTCAATTTATGTAAATTTAAAAAACAAAAACAAAAAACAGTTCACCCATTTCTCCTTCTTGTACCCCATTCCCCACCTCAGCAACTACCAATCCATTCTCTGTATCTATGAACTAGAGATTCCAAATGTAAGAGAGATCATACAGTATTTGTCTTTCTCTGTCTGACTTATCTCACTTAGCATGATGCCCTCAAAATCTTGCCATTTGTGGTAACATGGATGGGCTTCAAGAAAACTCTGTTCTTAATTTGTTGGGTGTTTTTACCATCAAAAGGTGTTCGATTTTGTCAAATGCTTCTTCTTCATCTGTTGAGATGATCATTGGGTTTTTTCTCTTCATTCTATTAATATGATGTATTACACTTACTGGTTTTCATTTATTGAACTAATCCTGCGTTCTTGGGATAAATCCTACTTGGTCAAGGTATACAGTCCTTTTAATATGCTACTAGACAGGTTGCTTGAGGATTTTTACATCAACGTTCATAAGGGATCTTGATCTATAGTTTTAATTTCTTGTCATGTCTTTGTCTGACTTTGGTATCAGGGAAATACTAGCCTTTAGAATGAGTTAGGAAGTGGTCCATCTTCTATTTTTTTTAATTTTTAAAAAATATTTATTTAAAAAATTTTAATGTTTGGGGGGTGGGAGGGAGGAGAGGGTGGGTGATGGGTATTGAGGAGGGCACCTTCTGGGATGAGCACTGGGTGTTGTATGGAAACCAATTTGACAATAAATTTCATATATAAAACAAAAAATTTAATGTTTATTTTTGAGAGAGAAAGAGATAGAGCACAAGCAGGGGAAGGGCAGAGAGAGAGGGAGACACAGAATCTGAAGCAGGCTCCAGGCTCTGAGCTGTCAGCACAGAGCCTAATGCAGGGCTTGAACTCACGAACCAGATCATGACCTGAGCTGAAGTTGGATGCTGAACCAACCAAGCCAGCCAGGCACACCCCGTGATGTTTATTTATTTTTAAGAGAGAGAGAGAGAGACAGACAGATACAGAGAAAGAGCACGAGCAGGGGAGGGGCAGATAGAGGGAGACACTCTGAGCTGTCAGCACAGAGCCCATAGTGGGGCTTGAACTCACAAGCTGTGAGATCATGACCTGAGCTGAAGTCAGACGTTTAACCAAGTGAGCCCCCCAGGCCCCCCCCCCCCGCCCCCCCTTCTGTTTTTTAGAAGGGTTTAAGAATGAATGATTGGAGTTACAGTAGAACCTACCAGTGAAAACATCTGGTCCTGGACTTTTCTTTGTAGGAATTTTTTTGAGTACTGACTCCATCTTTTTACTTGCTATAACTCTATTCAGATTTACTATTTCTTCTTGAGCCAGTATTGAGAGTTTGTGTGTTTCTAGGATTTTGTCTATTTCATCCACATTATCTAATTTGTTGGCATATAATTTATTAGCATCTAAGTTGTTCATGGTGTTCCCTTATAATTCTTTTTATTTCTGTAAAGTTGGTGGTAATGTCCCTGCTTATATGCTGGAGTAATAATTTGAATCTTCATTCTTTTTTACACCATCAGTCTAGCTAAAGGGTTGTCCATTTTATTGATTTTTTTTAAGGGTCAACTTTTGTTCCATTGATTTTCTTGTTTTTCTATTCTCTATTCCTTATTAAAATTCTGATCTTTATTATTTATTTTCTTAAGCTTGTTTGAGTTTAGTTGTCCTTTTTCTTTAGGTTCTTACTATAGAAAGTTAGATTATTGACTTGCTCTTTCTTTTTCAGTGTAGACATTTACATCTATAAATATTCCTCTGAGAACTACTCTCGTTCTATCTAATATGTTTTTGTATATTGTGTATCATTTTTGTCCATCTCAAAGTACTTTCTAATTTTCCTTTGATCCATTCATTATTTAAGAGTACGGTATAGTTTCCACACGTTTGTGAATTTCCTAGATTACCTTCTGTTACTGAATTCTAATTTAATTCCGTTGTGGGTGGAGAATATACTTTATATTAATTTGGTATTTTTAAATTCACTGAGATTTATGGCCTGAAAAACATTTTGTCTGTCCTGAAAACTGTTCTATGTGTACTTTAGAAAAACAGATTCTGCTGTTGCTAGTGTTCTATAGATGTCTGTTATGTCTAGATGAAGGTTTCTGTTTTCTTTCTGATCTTCTGCCTAGTTCTTCTGTTATTGAGAGTGAGGTATTGAAGTCTCTAGCTGTTGCAGAACTATTTATCCTTTCGATTCTTTGTGGTTGTTTGTTTTTTTTTTTTTTTTTTTGCTGTATGTTTTATATGATTTTTGTTCCACAATTCCTCCATTACTGCCTTCATTTGTGTATAAGTATTTCCTAATATACCACTTTAACTATTTTACTATATATTTTTGTTCAAAGAAACAATTATTTCTTCTACTACACATTTTTGAATTATCTCCTGAGTGGTTGCCTTGGGAATTACAAGTACCATTTTAATTTGTAGCAATCTAGTTCATATTAATTTCACCTTCAATTCAATAGTATATAAATACTCTCCCTAGAGACCTCTATATCTCCTACATTATGCTGCTTTTGCCACAAGTTGCATGTTTACAAATTGTGTGCCCATCAACACAGATTTATAATTATTGCTTTATGCACTTTTCTTTTAAATTAGATAGAAAAAAATTGGAGTTTTTAAAAATACATTAATGCTTCCTTTTATATTTACCTACCTAGTTTTCTTTACTGGTGTTCTTTATTTCTTCACACGGATTCAAGTTACTGTCTAGTGTTCCTTAATCTCAGCCTGAAGGACTGATTATCTTAACATTTCTTTTAGGGCAGTACTACTAGGAATGCTTTTATTTATCTTTGAATGTCTTAATTTCTTCTTCATTTTTTGATTGTTTAGTTTTTATTTAATAATCATAAACTTAACTTTGTAAATCAGCTGGACTTAGAGGGGGATAAGGAAAATATTGAAGCTAAAGGACTGTGTCAAGAGCACAAAGATCATAGGCTGTTTTAAGCAGATGGGGTTAAGGGGTGCTCTTCTGAGCTACAGAAGGAATGGTCTGGTGGTTCAGACAAAACATAAGTCAGATTTATTAGATGTGCCTATAGTCAACAGTGGTGATGATTTTGCTGGTGTTGCCATTCCTGGACCCACAATGCTCTGGGACTTCCACAGAGTTCATGCCCTCTTCCACCTTATGCTTGCCACTCAGTCTTCATGGTGCGGATGAAAAACTGGGAGCCCTTTGTGTTGGGTCCAGCATTTGCCATGGACAGGATGCCAGGACCAGTGTGCTTCAGGATAAAATTCTCATCATCAAATTTCTCCCCATAGGTAGACTTGCTGACAGTGCCATTATGGCATGGGAAGCCACCACGCTGGCACATAAATCCCAAAATAATCTGTGAAAGCTGGAACCTTTGTAACCTGATCTTTTCTCCCCAGTGCTCAGAGCATGAAAGTTTTCTGTTGAATTTGGAACAGCTCAAAGGAAAAACATTGCAACATCAATATTAAAGAACATGGAGGGGTTGACCATGGGTGGGCAACACAGGCAGCTCTCGGGGGATGGCATCTAGAAGGCCTCTTCTTAATTTTTAAGTATTGTCTTGCCAGAGAAAATTTTTTGACAGCTTTTTTTTTTTTCTTTCAGCACTTTGAGTGTGTTATCCCATTGTCTTCTGACTTTCGTGATTTCTGCTGGGAAATCACTGTTAATCTTACTGAAAATCTCTTGTGTGTGTTGAGCTGCTTTTCCCTTGCTGCTTTCAAGGTTCTTTGTCTTTTGGCAATTTGATGATGATGTATTTTCCTGTGGATCTCTTTGCATTTATCCAATTTGGAGTTTGTTGAGCTTTTTGAATCGATAGGTGAATGTCTATCAGCAAATTTGGGGAGTTTTCAGCCATTATTATTTCAAATATTCTCTGCTCCTTTTCTTCTTCTGGGACTCTTAATTATGTATGTGTTGGTGCACTTCATGGTGGATGTTATCCTATAATTCTTCTTAGGTTTTGTTTATTTTTTTCATTTTTAGTTCCTGTTCCACAGACTGGATAGTGTCAATGGACGTATCTTCAGATTTACTGATTTTTTACTTCTGCATCCTTAAATCTGCTGTTGAGCTTCTCTAGTGGATATTTTATTTCAGTTGGACTTTTCAGTCCAGAATTTCCATTTGATTCCTTATTTATAATTTCTGTTTGTTTTTTGATATTCCCAATCTGGTGAGATACGGTTCTCATGGTTCCTTTCGTTCTTTAAACATGGTTTCCATTAGTTCTTTGAACATATTTAAAATATCTGATTTAAAGGCTCTTTCTAGTAAGTCTACTGTCTGGGTTTCCTAAAGGAGTTTCTTTTGAAACTTTTGGAACTCCTTTTTTCCTGTCGTGGGCCACATTTTCTTGATGTTTTTTGTCTGTCTCATAATTTTTTTGTTGCAGAATGGACATTTTAAATATTATAATGTGGCAACTCTGGAAATAAGATTCTCCCCTCCTCCCCAGGGTTTCTTGCTTCTTGTTGTAGCTGTTGTTGCTTTGTTTAATTACTTATCTGCTGAGCTAATTTCGTAAAGTTTGAATTCTTTGTTTTGTGTGGCTACTGAAGTCTATTCCATGAGCTTACCATGAGCTTCCATGAGCTTACTATCATGTCACCATGATAGGGTGGGTGTGCCCAGGAATATGCAGGCGTATATACTTCCAAAGAAGCACTATGCACATGCAAGCAAATATAAATATATGTTTCTTATGATGTTGTTAAATTAACATTTGTTAAGTGGAACAAAGGCACTGGGTGGTGAATCACAGCTCAAAAACAAACCACAAGAGAAATTGAAATAGAAAAGTTTATTACTCAGAGGTTCTGGAGGAAGTACAAAGCATGCCCCCAAGGAGCTGTAAGTGCATGTCAAGGCAAGCAGTAGACTGAGCCACAGAACCTGGGGCACATTCCTTGGTTAGAGTCAATGGGTGCAATGCTTTGGGGTTTCCAGGCTAAGGCCAATTTGGTCAATTCAAACCAAAAGAGTGGGATTTTTGCGAATCCCACTATGGTCTTATCTAAGGCTCACACAAGGGCACAACCTTGGGAGGTGGGGAGAGTGTTGATCAGAAGGGCTACAGGGAAAGTCATAACAGCACTCTATGATTTGCTTGTGTCTCCATGGCTGTTATCTAGGGCATAGGCTTACACAAGGGACTACTGTCCATTTAAGGTCACTGCAGGCTGCTTGGCCAAACAAAATGGATGCTAACGCAGCAACACCATGGATAGCTGAGCTGAATTCTCAATAGTGTTCTTCCCCCTTTTAGTATGAACGGTAATATACATGAAATGCTGTCCTTTGTCTTGCTATACCGACTTAAGAAATCATGGTGTTCATTCTATATCAGTTCACAAAGCCTTCTTTGCCTCTTTTGCATGATATCCTGTAGACGTAACTTAATTTATGTAAGCAATTCATATTGGTGGAAGGTGAGATCATGTCCAGCCTTTCGCTATTAAGATTTATGCATCAGTGAACAAAATTGTATAGACATTATTTCTCACAAATGAAGTATATTTGTAGGATAAACTTACAGATGTGACATTGTTGGGTCATTTTATACTTTGATAAATATTCCCCAAATATTTTCCATAAAGACTATGACAATTTACACTTCTAATAGCAGCATGTGCTCATTTTCCTAATGTTAATCCTGAGGACTAAATGTGTTTTATTTAGGTTATAAGCCCCAAGACTTCAAAGGTACTACAAAAATCACCCTCTTCAAGAAGAATGGTAAGAAAATAAGTAATTTCCTTTCCTCTCTAAGTATTAACTCCCTACATGATATTCTCTGGATACATTTACCATATCATTTTTATTTATTTATTTTTAATTTTTTTAATGTTTATTTATTTTTGAGACAGAGAGAGACAGAGCATGAATGGGGGAGGGGCAGAGAGAAAGGGAGACACAGAATCTGAAGCAGGCTCCAGGCTCCAAGCTGTCAGCCCAGAGCCCAACGCGGGGCTCGAACTCACGGACTGTGAGACGATGACCTGAGCTGAAGTCGGGTGCTTAACCAACTGAGCCACCCAGGCACCCCGTACCATATCTTTTTTTCTAATTTGATCATGAAACATCCTTCAGACTTAGCATTTCATGTGGCACATGAAGGAATAGTATAGGGAGAGAATATGCTAACTTATGACTCAAAATGTATGGCTAGGCATTCTGTACGCAAGTATGAATACTATAAATATTAATAGGGAAAATGTGATTATGATCACAGGTTCAGTAATGTCAGGAATGTGGAATTTATCTTACAGAGGCTTCTGGGGAGCTGGGAGAGGAAGGGCATGAAATGACCAAGAGAGGGTTTTAGGAGTATAGTCTTGACTCCAAGACTCTGAGGATGCTCTGCACCTCCCCCCACCAAGTCCAACTTTCTCAGCATCCATTCCCTGGCATGCTGTCCTGGTTCTTGCTGGTAATAATAGAAAAGGACCGTAAGAACTGACTGTATTTTAAAATATTTTCTATTAGTTTCCTAGTGCTGTTGTCACAAAGCACCACAAACTAAACAGCTTAAAATAATTGAAATGTATTCTCTCACAGTTCTGGAGACTAAAATTCTGAAATCAGGGTGTCAGCTGCGTTGGTTCCTTCTGAAGGCCTTGAGAGAAGGACCTGTTTCTGACATCATTCCTAGCTTTTGGTGATGCCAGCAATCCTTGGTGTTCCTTAGCTTGTAGATGTATCACTCCAATCTCTGTGTCCATCTTTACACGCTGTGTGTGTGTCTATGTCTCTTCTCCTCTTAGAAGGACGGTAGCCATAGTGGATATACATCCACTCTTTCCATATGACCTTGTCTTAGCTAATTACATCTGCAGTGACCCTATTTCCATATAAGGTTATATTCTTAGCTGCTGGGGGGTAAGACTTCAACATATCTATTGTGGGACACAATTCAACCCATAATATATTACTTCTAGGGTATATATTGAGTCAGTTCAACATAAACTTTCTATATCAACAATGCCATTTTTTGAGAATGTTCAAATTGATAAAATGCCTAAGGAGTAGCCAGATCCTCAGGTAGAAATTTATTTCCGTTCATATCTAGATGGAGAATTCGTTTTTAAAACATTCCAAATTTTGAAACAAAAGAAATTTTCCAGTCCTGAAAAAACATCAGTTGATGTTAATTAGACCTAAGTGCCATCCTCTGACTATTTCATTTAATCAGAGCTCCAAGGTAGGTCTCCAGGCCAGTCTTGTCATATGAAAGCAGAGATGCTCAGCAGTCCACACCTGCTCTTCAGAGTGTTATCAGCACACTTTGAGGGATCAGGTTTTAAATCCCCATCTGGAATTCAACTTGGGCCAGCCAATCATTGTTACTAACTAAAGAAAAAGGATTTTTAAAAAGCTGTATTCTCTAATTGATTCTCAAATTTTTCAGAAGGTGACTCTTCTTAAAATATACTGAAATTGGGGCGCCTGGGTGGCGCAGTCGGTTAAGCGTCCGACTTCAGCCAGGTCACGATCTCGCGGTCCGTGAGTTCGAGCCCCGCGTCAGGCTCTGGGCGGATGGCTCGGAGCCTGGAGCCTGTTTCCGATTCTGTGTCTCCCTCTCTCTCTGCCCCTCCCCCGTTCATGCTCTGTCTCTCTCTGTCCCAAAAATAAATAAACGTTGAAAAAAAATTAAAAAAAAATATATATACTGAAATACAGACTCCTGCTTGAAGTAAGCTTATTTAGGGCACAAAATGAACTGATAGAAACATGAGATTTTGTCATAACCTAGTGTTACTTGTCTTATTATTTTAAGGGACTATAGCAAGTGCCTTAAGTATGTAACAAAAGTAAAATCCCAGGTTAAGTTTACTCATTAGTGAATCTCCTGTTAAAAAGAAAGCAGTGTTTCATTCTGGTTAAATACTGGTCATATTTACATGTTTTCCTAATTCATAATGCCACTGATTTTCACATCTTTAAAGTGCAATCATTAAAGCATTATTCATCCTAGTTTGACAGAATGTACCGAATTTTTCCTCATTGGCAGTCTGACGTGCCGGAAGGAGTCATAAGGGTCCATGCTCCACTTCTCTCTAAGGTGTCCATGGCCATTCAACTCAATAGTCACACCAAAGCCAAAGACATACTGGCAAAATTTCAATATGAGAACAGGTGAGTAAAAGTGAGTATAGGTCTCTGTACAAGGAAGATGATCTTTTATCAGATAAGTAACTCCCAGGCATTTACAAACTTGGCCTTTTTGAAAAATTAGAACCTGTTATTTTGGGGACTTTACCAATAGAGTAAGTGAAAAGTAGAGAAAGAAATTAAGTAGACCATAGAATTGTTGATAACAGAAATGTTTGGTTTGTTTCTTTTTCTTTTGGGGAGGGGTATTTTTTGAAGAAATTTCTATAAATAGAATTCTTAGTAGATATCTTCTATCTTGGTGGTTTCATTTACTCAATGAGTTTACTTTTTATTAGAATAAAAAATATAGCAAGTTAGTTTTATAGATACCTAGAATACCATTCCAGGCTTCACTGGGCTTCAACATGCCTATATATAAAGCCTATACATAAAGCTTATGTAGTTGAACGGGCATCATTGCTGTTGTCTTTCTTAAACCTACTGCTAATTAATCTTGAGATCAGAATTCTATTTACAAAAAAAAAAAAAAAATCCTTTCCTCATTTTCCCTAAGTCATCTTGAAGCACCATAAATCAGGATAATTTTTGTCTAGGCATACTTATTAAAGGATAAACATTTTCCCTGAGGTTTTTAAAAGATGAGAAGCACTAGTTTAAATCTGTCCATTAGACAGCAGGTACAGTTTGAGGGTTTCTAGTAAAACTGATGGAGGTTCTTAAAGAGAAGCTTTCCAATCATACTAAAAAGGAGTACCCATGTTGAGGGTGGGAACAAGCCAGTTGAGAAAGGTTACATACCGTAACACTCCATTTATATAACATTTTGAAATGACAAAATTTTAGAAATGGAGGGTAGATTAGCAGTTGCCAAAAGTTGGGGAGGGCAGATCATGGGAGAGAGATGGGTATGGTCATAAAAGGGTGACACAAGGACCTGGAGATATTGGAGCTGCTCAGTATCTTGACTCTGGTGGTAGATAAGAACCTGTACAAGTTGTACTGAACTTAATACACACAAGCATACAAATGAGTACATGTAAAATGGGAAATCTAAAGAAGATGGGTGGATCGTATCAATGTCAGGATTCTAACTAGCATTATACTGTATTTTTGTTACCATTTGGGGAAAAGTGGGCAAAGAGTATGAAGAATCTTTCTATATTATGTTTCATACGTGTAAGAATCGACTAACTTGATAGAAATATTTCAGTTAAAAAAAAAAAAAAAAAACAGGAGTAGCCAATAGAAGTAACCTGTAGTATTAGAAGCCAGGTTAGTGGCTTTCTGTAAGGGTGGAAGGGATAGTGACCAAGAAGCCATGATAGTGGCTTCTAAGAAGTTCTTTTTTTAGACTGTGGGGGCTGGTTACATGGTATGTTCACTTTGTGAAAATTCTTCGAGTGTTTTTATGTAGGATATGTGCATATTATGTATGTACTATATAAAAAAAAGAAAATAATAGGGGCCAACAGGAGCCCCCAAAACTTACTTCTCTTCACTGTGAAGACACCATAAGTAGTTACCACTAGACGGTAATAGAAAGACTTGAAATTCCACTGGGGGGATTTGAACACACAATAGATTCCTAGTCACATGCATGACAAAACTGCCTCTGTGCTGTCATGTAGACCTTTTGTAGAATGAAAATGTTTCTGGCAAAAGTAAGTCAGAATCGGTGACTGCAGACAGATGCAAATTCTTTGTATGAACTTCTTCAACAGATTTTGTCCAGTCCATTTTCTTCACCAGTTAGAACTGTGGCCAATTTCAGTTTAGTTGTAAAGTGGCCCATTTTTGCCTGTTTCACTAGAGGCTGTTCTGTTTAAGTAAAAAAAAGAAGAGAGAAGGCTCCTTCTCCCAGATCCTCCCTCTTAGGACTGAAAACCCTTGGACATAACCTAACGACAAGTGTAGGAAGACACCGAAAGATAGAAAAACGAGTGCTGACCACCTAAGGACATCGGGCCTCTGAAACAACATGGTGGTGAATTCTTGGGTTTCCTTATTGCCTCCCACATATCCAGGCAGGAACTGCAGAAACCTCCAACGTGGCACAGACGCAGACAATAAAAGAGTTCCAAGAAGAGCCTGCTCCCAGCCAAAGGACTGGGGAGAGGGTGGTCTAACCACAAAGCACCATTCTGGCAATACCTACCCTACTCCAACCAAACAGGAACTGGAAGAGCACACCATCACGCCTGTGGTCTCAGTGGGACCAAGCAGGCCACTGATCTGCGGAATCCCTTAGTGATCCAGTTCCCAGCCACGTTAGTGTCAGCACCTCCACCCAGCAGCAGGGAGACCTGACGAGTCTGTGCGAGGCAGACAGTATCCCCCAGCTTCACCCCACCCTCAGAGTCAGTATGGCCCAACGATAAGCTGAGTTTTACCCTCACCCAGCAGCAGCAAAGCAGCTTGAGGCAGCCTTCTGTTTCCCCGCCCTGGTGGCAGCAGAGCCCAGCAGGCGGCTGATCTTACACCCTCAATCAGAGGCAGCAGAACGGTGCCAGTTGGTGTCCCACTTTCACTGGGCAGGTGTCAGTGGGGCCCAGCAAAAAGCTGAACATACACACCCACCCAGACCTTGTGCTATACTTCAACAGGACTGCCTGCCAAAAATGATGATTAAATAAGATCCAGAGTCTCATAATATCAAAAGTGTCTGCAGTATGATACAGAATCACTCATTATACCTAAACCCAGGAAAATCACAATAGGAATGAGAAAAGACAATTGACAAATGCTGGTGCTAAATGGAATCAGATGTCTGAATTAATCTGACAAGAATTTTACAGTAGCCATCTCAAAGGGAAAAAAAAAAAAGGCTTCAACAAGCAACTATGATTCTCTTGAATAAAATGAAAAAATAGAAAACCTCAGCAAACAAATAGAAGTTATAAAGAGAATGTAATGAAAATTATAGAACTGAAAAATAGAATCACTAAAATAAAAACTCACTCGCTGGGCTCAATAGTAGAATGGAATTGACAGAGGATATAATCAGTAAACTTGAGGACGTATCACTAGCATTATTTATTCTGAACAAAGAAGACAGACCTAAAAGAATGAATATAGTCTCAGGGATCCATGGACTATAATAAGAAAGCTAACATTCGCATCATTGCAGCACCGAAAGTAGAGAAAACAGAGAGGAACGGAAAAAGTATTTGAATAAACAATGGCTGATAACATTCCAAATTAGCAAAAGGTGTAAACCGACATATTCCAGAAACTAAGTGAACCCAAATAAGACAAACCAAAGGAAATCCTTGGCACAACAGTGTAATTAAACTTGTAAAGATTAAAGACAAAGAAAAAAACCTTAAAGAATTCAGAGAGAAGCAATGGCTTTCTTACAGGGAACACCAATTCCAATGACAGCAGATTTCTTATCTGAAACCCTGGAGGCCAGATGGAAGTGGCATAACATTTTTCCAAGTACTGAAAGCAAATGCCGTCAACCTTGAATTCTAAGTCCTGCAAAAAATACCCTTCCAGAATGAAGGGGAAATGACATTCTTGGGTGAAGCCGAACTAAGATTTTTCAGACTTACCTATAAAGAATGGATAAAGGAAGTTCTCCAAGTAGAAAGAAAATGTTCACAAAGGCTTGGAGCATCAGAAAGGAAAAGAGAACATCAGAATAGGTAAACAGTAGTAAATGTAAGAGATTATCCTACTCGTTATGCATTTCTTAAATCATATTTAATGGTTGAAGCAAAAACTTTTACATCTGATATGCTGCTCAGTGTAGGTAGAGGACATATTTAAGGTAATTACATTTAAGAAGGGTTGAGGCTCAGCACCCCTTATTGTCTGCATTGTGACTTCCTTCCAAAGATTACAGTATGTAAAGAGAGAAAAAGAACAACTTCATAGTCATGAAATCTGACCTCAGCCAGGTGACCAAGATTAACATCAACTATGCTAAGTCATGCTCATAGTATGTACCCTTGATAAGAAATGATGAAAATGGCACTTTACATCTGTTGCTTTCCTCCCAAGAACATGTAACTTCAGCCTAAACATGAGAAAAACATCAGATAAATCCCAACTTAGAAATGTTCTACAAAATACCTGATGTGTCTTCCTGAAACAAGACAGGATGTCTTGGATGTCAAAAACAAGACAGAGGTGAGAAACAGCATCAAGAGGAGCCTAACGAGACATGACTAGGTATTAGTTTCCCAGTATTTGCATAACAAATTACCTCAGCCTTCTGGCTTAAAACAACAGAAATGTATTCTCTCAGTTCAGGAGGCCAGAAGTCTGAACAAATATGTCCGCAGGGTTGGTTCCTTCTGGAGGCTCTGAGGGAGAGTCTTTCTCATGCCTCTCTCCTAGCTTCTGGTGGTTGCCAGCATCCTTGGCATTCCATGGCTTATAGACGTATCACTTCAATCTCTCCATCTTCATATCATCCTCTTCCCTATGTTTCTCTGTGTCTTCTTCCCTTCTTAATAAAGACTCAGTGGATTTTAGGGCATCTTCTGAATCCAGGATGATTTCATCCCAAGATTCTTAAGTGATTACATCAGCAAATACCTTGTATTCAAATAAAGTCACATTCTTAAAGGTCCAGGTGGACATGAATTTTGGAAAGGACACTATTCAACCAACTATAATTACTAAATATATTGCAATACTCTGAGTGGGTCTCTGGAACAGAAAACAGATACTAGGTAAAAACTAGGAAAATCTGAATGAAATATGAACTTTGGTTAATAACAATGTATTATATTCATTAGTTGTGACAAATGTACCGTATTAATGTTAGATGTTAATAATGGGGGAACCAGGTGTGGGGAATATGGAACTGTCTATACTATTTTCACAATTTTTAAATAAATCTAAAAGTTCTAAAATTAGGTTTATTTGTAAAATTTGTTAGGGTTCTACCAATTAGGAGAACTACTTACTGGTTATTAATGGTAAAGTAATTTCAAAGTAAATAGGTAAAGTTTAGTTATGCTAGAATATCCGGATTATCTTTCTGTTTTAAAAATGAAATAATATATGCATTAGTGGTCTTCTTCCTTTAACTTATGTTATTTTTAATTCAAAGAACTAAGAGTAAATAGAATTAAATGTTTATTCTTAAAGTATGAAGATAAAGAGAACTGACAGAAGTAGGTTTCTACACATCACTAAAAGTAGTAAAACCTCAATCCCAATAGACCATGATAAGTTACATATGTGTATTGTAATGCCTGAGAAACCACACACACACACACACACACACACACACACACACACACACACACACAATACAAAGTAGTATATTTTAAAATTCTGTAAATAAATCAAGGTGTAATTATAAAAGATAGACCATATCATGGGCCATAACACAAACCTCAGTAAATTTAAAATAATTTAAATCATACAAGGTATCTTTTCTGTCCATAAAGGAATCAAACTAGATGTCAGTAACATTAGGACAACGTGAAAATCTCTAAATACTGAAAAATTAAACCACACACTTGTAAAAACTCCACAGGTCAAAGAGGAAGTGTTAAAGGAGATTTTTTTAAAGTACATAGATTGAAAATAAAACTGCAGCTTACCAAGTTTTGTACAGTGCAGCTAAAGCCATGCTGAGAGAAAAATGTATAGCAGTAAATGCTTGCATTAAAAAAGAGGGCGAGATCTCAGAATAATCAAGTAAGTTTCTACCTCAAGAAACTAGAAAAATAAGAGCAAAATAAACACAAAATGAAGGAAGTGATAGAAGAACAGAAATCAGTGAAATTGAAAACAGGAAAATGATAGAGATCAGTGAAACAAAAAGCTGGTTCTTTTAAGAAACAATAAAATTGGGGACGCCTGGGTGGCGCAGTCGGTTAAGCGTCCGACTTCAGCCAGGTCACGATCTCGCGGTCCAGGAGTTCGAGCCCCGCGTTGGGCTCTGGGCTGATGGCTCAGAGCCTGGAGCCTGTTTCCGATTCTGTGTCTCCCTCTCTCTCTGCCCCTCCCCCCGTTCATGCTCTGTCTCTCTCTGTCCCAAAAATAAATAAACGTTGAAAAAAAAAAAATTAAAAAAAAAAAGAAACAATAAAACTGATAAACTTCTAGAAATGAAAAGCAAATAATTACTAATTTTAAAGCAAAAAATATCACTGTATGTAATATTTCCCTTAAAAGGATAATATGAAAATACTATAAACAACCTATATGCTCAAAATTGAAAACTTAAAAGAAATGGACCAGTTCTTCTAAGACTACAGATTACCAAAACACAACCAAGATGAAATAGTTTTGAGGCCATTAAAGAAATTGAATTTTTAATTAATTAATTAATTTGTTTGTTTTTTAACATTTATTTTCAAGAGAGAGAGAGAGAGACAGTGAGGGGGGAGGTGCAGAGAGAGAGGGGGACAGGATCTGAAGCAGGCTCCAGGCTGTCAGCGCAGAGCCTGACACGGGGTTTGAACCTGCCAACAGTGAGATCATGACCTGAGCTGAAGTCAGACACTTAACCGACTGAGCCACCCAAGCACCCCTGAATTTTTAATTTAAAAGTTTCCCCAAATAAGAAATCTCCAAGCCCAGATGGTTTCACTGGAGAATTCTAGCAGATGTTTAAAGAATTCACAGCAATTTAGCACATTCTTTTTCAGAAAATAGAAGAGAAGAAGGGTCACTACCTAACTCATTTTATGAAACTAGTGTTGACCTGACACCAAAAACAATAAACAAACAAACACTGCAGACCAATATCTCTCATGAACTTAGAGATAAAAGTCCTAGGCAAACCATGAGCAAATCTAATCCAACATATATGAAAGGAGTTACTCACCATGACCAAGTGGGATTCGTTTCAGTTTAGGTCAATATTCAGAAAGTAATGTAATCCATCCTCAGATTGGAGAAAAATCATAGATCATATTAACTGATACAGAAAAAAAACATTTGACAAAATCCAATACCCATTCATGATAAAAACTCTCAGTGAACTAGGAAAAGGGAAGAACTTCCTCAACTTGATAACTACCATCTATAAAAACCTATAACGAACCTCATACTTAATGATGAAAGATTGAATGCTTTCCTTCCAAGATCAAGAAAATTACTTAAAAAAAAACACACACACTACTTGTAACTTGTGTTCAACATACTATTGGAGGATGAAGCCACTCAATATAAGGAAAGAGAAAGGAAGGTAAGGAAGGGAGGGAGGGAGGGGAGGGGAGAGGGGCAGAGCGGGGAGAGGAGGAGAGAAAGCCAGGGAGGGAAGGAGGAAGGAAGGGAGAAGGGAAGAATGAAGGAAGGGTGGGTGGGCAAGCAGGCATACAGATTTTAAAGGAAGAAATAAAAATGCACATAACATAAAGTTTATAATTTTAAGTGTACATTCCAATGGTATTAAGTACATTTACATTGTTACACAGTCATTACCACCATCCATCTCCAGAAAGATTTTATCATCCCACACTCAGACTCTGTCCCCATTAAACAATAACTCTTCATTTCTCCCTCTCCCAAGCACTGGTAACTGCGCTTCCACTTTCTGTCTCTATGAATGTGACTATTCTAATAACTGATTTTTGACAAAAGTACAAAAGCAATTCAATGGCTGAAGGACAGCCTTTTCAACAAATGATAAATGGTGCTCTAGCAGTTGAATATCTGTAGACAAAAAAGAAAGAAAGAAAAGAAATTAACCCATAGTGCATATTTAAATTTAAAATGTAAAACTATAAAACTTTTAGAAAATAACAGGAGAAAACCTCTGTGATGTAGGGCTAGTAAAGAGTTCTTAAAGTTGATATCAAAAGCATGATCCATAAATTGGACATCTTTCAAAACTGAAAACTTACATACTGAAAGACTCAGTGAAATGGTTGAAAAGACAAACTAAGGATGTATACAGACCTTATATCCAGCAAATGACTAGTTTCTAGAATATATAGAGAACACTCAATACTCAACAATAAAAATATCCAAATTAAAAATGAGCAAAAGATGTGAACAGATATTTCACTAAAGAGGATATATGGATACAAATATGCACATGAAAACATGTTCAGTAGCCATTAGGGAAATGCAGAGCCACAAGGACTATCATTAAACCATCTGAGAATGGCTAAAATAAAAAATAATGATGACATCAAATACTGGCAAAGATACAGAGAAACCGGATCACTCCTACATTGGTGGTGAGAATGTAAAAGGCTATAGTTGCTCTGTAAAACGGTTTGACAGTTTTTCATAAAACTAAATATGCAACTACCGTGTGATCCAGCTTGCACACTCCTGAGAATTTAGCTCAAAGAAATGAAGATAATACTCACACAAAAACCTGAACACAAATGCTTATAGCAACTTTATTTAAAATACTAAAAAACTGGGGGAAAAAAACCAGATGTTCTTCAACAGGTAAAAAACAAACTGGTACATCCATACCATGGCATGCTACTCATCAAGAAAATGCAACACCTTGGGTGAGTCTCCAGTGATTTATGCTGATTAGAAAAAAAAGGCCATATAGAATGTAAGCCAACTTGACAATAAATTATATTTAAAAAGAAAAGAGAAACGAATACAAAAAAAGCTCTGTACTCTGTTTCCATTTACTCTGTGTAACATTTTTGAAATTAGAATCTTCTAGAAAATGTAGAATCGAGTAGACATTACTAGGGACAAGGGATGAGCATAGTAATGATGGAGAGGGTAGTGAGTGGGACTGTAAAAGGTAAACGGGAGATCTAGTGATGATGGAAATATCCTGTATCTTAACTGAATCAATGTTGACATTCTGGTTGTGGTAGCAAACTAGAGTTTTGCAAAATGTTATTATTGGGGGAAACTGTGTAAAGGGTAGACAGGATCTACCTGTATAATTTCTTAAAACTACATGCAAATCTACAATCATCTCAAAATGTTTAAGTAAACAATAAAATAGGCCCCACATCTTTCTTCCTCACAAAGAGCTGAAGGCAATCTTTTGAAGAAACCAAGCTGAAAGTCATTCCTCATGTAGGTGGAGATCAGCAGTGGTCTTTCTAGACTTTTCTACTGCAGTATTCCAGGATGCTGAAATTAAACTGGGCAATTATTTTCTCTGACTTGCTTTCACCATAGAGCAGAAACATGCAATGAAGTCAACATTAGACAGTCTGAAAAGCTTTAGGCAAGTTTAGAAACATGGCATGGACAGAGGAGAGAGTCCCATTCAGTTTCTGGCAAAAAGAGAAATGAAACCTGACTTCTTTCGAACCGAGAGTAATGTGACCAATGACAAGGCAATATGAAACATCCAGCTGCTCCTTAGCCAGCCTTGGCGTGTCTCCAACAGTTTACTCTCTAAATGAAGCTGTCAGTTGGGGACAGAGTGGGCTCCAGGTTGCTGCAGGGGACAGCAGCACCCGTCTTGGTTTGGGATAGTCCCATCCTTTCTGTGCCTTGAATGTTCGTCTGTGTCAAACAAGTAAAAAATACATATATATAATAATAATGTTTTTATCATAACTTCAATTATAATAATGATTTGTGGGTATTTTCACTCAAGGCAGAAGGAATTGTTTGTTGCCATGGTTATTTAATCCACAGATTTACCTCAGATCATAGAACAGGGTTAAAATTACATTGCCTTCTTTTTTTCAGTTATGGTTCATCAGAATGCATTAAGATTCAGAACCAACGGTTATATGAAATTGGAGGAAATATAGGTAAGCATTCTCTAACGGTCTTTACTCCTAAATTCTTTGATTACTCTAAAAGAAATATGATGCTATTATTGTAACAGCACATTTTACCAGTTTCTTAGATTATAAATTCAAAATCAGTAAGATTCTGATTTTTTAATCTCATGTGAGAACAGTTGTATGAATTTCCTAAAATATACCCAAATTTTACATGTGAATATTCCAGTTGACATGAAGTAGACTTGTGGGTCTTTTTTTTTTTTTTTTTTTTAATTTTATTTTTCAACATTTATTTATTTTTGGGACAGAGAGAGACAGAGCATGAACGGGGGAGGGGCAGAGAGAGAGGGAGACACAGAATCGGAAACAGGCTCCAGGCTCTGAGCTGTCAGCCCAGAGCCCAACGCGGGGCTCGAACTCACGGACCGCGAGATCATGACCTGGCTGAAGTCGGACGCTTAACCGACTGCGCCACCCAGGCGCCCCTTGTGGGTCTTTTCAATGTGCCTCAGAGTTGGCAAGTCTCCTCCTAGAAATCCCTGCAAAACAGAGAAACATCATGGAACTTTGAAATCGTGACACCCTTTTTGTTGAACTTTCCTGGTTTCACCCTCAACCCAGGTTCATTCTTCTTGTTTCCCTGAGAGGGAGCAAAAAGGAATCAAAGGGAAATACCCTCTGCTTTCATCTGTGTCCTTACCTTCCCCTTCGTCCATGTCTTCTGCTTGCACCCTGCACAGCCTGGATGAACGACCGGTGCTTCCACTGAAGGCCAGCACCTCTGTGTGTACCTCGCTTCATGTCCCCGCCTGCCACTCAGAGCCTTGCTCCAGTCCCCCATTCTCCTGCACCATCAACTTTTCCCTCCCAGCTGCATTATTTCCAACTGCATGAACAGTTTTGTGAAGATAAGAGAAATTTCCAAAAATCTCTCTTGACCCCCTTCCAGCCCACTTCCATTTCAGTGTTCCACTTTACAGCAAAAACTCCTTAAAGCTGTTGTCTGTCCTCCAATTTCTCCCTCTCGTTCTCTCTTGAAACCACTCCAGGCAAGCGTTACCCCGCAACACTTCACCCAAATTGCTCTCTTGCTGAAGCCACCGGAGAACTCTTCTGTTGTGAAATCCAGTCTTTCGTCTGTCTTGATAACTGCCTGCTGAGTTGATCTTTCCCTTTGAAAACACACTTTCTTCACCTGGTTTCAAGGACGACCTAAGCTTCTGGGTTTCATTCCACTTCACTGGTGGCTCCTTCTGACTCTCTTTTGCCTGCTACTTCTCATCCTCTCAACCTTCAACGTGGAAAGCTGTGGGGTCAGGCCTCAGAGCTCTTCTTACCTACATATTACTTCCTTGGTGAGCCCAATCCATCACATCGCTTTAAATACACCAGCATGCAGATGCTTCTCATATTCTATCCAGACTTCCACTCAACACCAACCTCGCAGAGCTCATCACCAGGCACATTTGCCATGGAGCCTTTGCATGTGCTCTTTTCCCAGAATGCTCTCCTTTAGAGTGTTCATTTCTCCCTCCCTCACCTCTGGGAGGTGTTGGCCGCTGTGTCACCTCAAAGAGACCTTCCGGGATTTCACCCTCTCTAGGTGTGCCTTCCCGGTTTTTTGTTCTCTCATGTTCTCATCACCGCCAGACTTACTTTATATTATGCTTGCTAGTTTGCTGGTTGCCTTTTACCACTTGGAGAATGTAAGTGCCCCGAGGGCAAGTGTTTTTGATTATCTGATGCATTCCTGTAGCCCTAGCCCCTGGAATAGTACCTGGAATATAGTAACTTTCAAGAACAATTTGATAAATGAATGAGTGAATTAAGCAAGCAATCAAATGTTGGTAGTTTTGTTTGAGAATTTGGTATACATTTCAAACACTGTACATAAAGATTTTCAAATGTATTTGCCTCATGGAATGATTTGTTGTTGTTGTCGTTGTTGTTGTTATCATTTCTAGATCTCCTGCCCTTGGGCATTGAATCCGTAGTAAAGAAACAAAATGACCGTTCCTAAAATGAACGTAATTTTAATCTTTTGTAGTCCTGGTCAAGTTACTATCTGTAAAACCATTTGAGGACGTGTATTATTTTATAAATGATCAGTTTATATCTTAAATAAGTTCTTTCCAGATTTTCCTACTTGATGTGGTGAGTCTAGGGAACAGTTTGCCTGTAGTTGGTATGTCTGTGTTTTTCCACAATTTTGCATGGGATTTATGTGAAGTATTTCACAGTCAGAAAGAAACAAAGAAGGGATAGAGGAAGGCAAGAAGGTAGGCCGACTAGCTTTGCTAAGGAAATTTTAATATGTATCTACTTACTTTTGGCTGAGATACTAGCCTTATTCGAACTTACCAACACACACATGCACATGCACACTTAGAAGTGTGCACCATCAAAAACATCCTCTGATTTTCTCTTTCCTTTAGGGCAGCATTGCTTGGATCCAGATGCTTATATATTGGATGTATATCATGTCAATCCTCAAGCAGAGTGGGTGATTAAACCCCAACCAAGTTTTTGAAACACCCTCCAGGATGGCAGCTATCATGTATCACATGCCAAGAAGATTCTGCATGTGGTAGGGGAAAAAACAAGACTACTTTTGACATGTTTGCTCCAATAACTCTCTTGGTGTTTCTCAGCCCAAGTGGTGTCTCCCAGCGTTGTCAACATGAACCATGGAGGAGGCACTGGTTGGCTGTTTGAGCTGGGGCTTTCTCCTATGATTCCTTGATAAGAGTGAAGGAAAGATGATGCGATCCTTCCAGAAGAAAGGCCAATCTAGGATGTGGAACTCTAATCATTTCTAGTACTTTGGTTTCATATCAGAAATGAATTTGGCCCTATACCTAGAGATAAGAAACACTTCTTTATGTAGCAAATGCTACCAAAGACAAGAGGTAGAAGAAAATTGTTTTCATACCTGTGTTATATACATAGGTGGACCTTTTTGAACAAGAATGCCAGAAATATCAATAATTTTTGCTCTGTAAAATAATCCAGATCTACTTTTCAAAGGGAATCGGTTCCTAAAGTTATGCATACAATATTTATGCTCTGACTTGCTCCCAAATTGGAGGAGGGCGAACTCCTGTTGAAGGAACACTGTATTGTTATGTATGTTGTACTGTATTATGACTATCAGCATTCTGGTGCAAATGACCATTTCTCTATCGTGGACTATTGAAAATTGATAATTTTAAAGCTTTTCTGATGAGCACTGGTCCGTATAGCAAAGGTTAGTCTGAAAGAGGGTGTCCTTATTCTTTCGTGACCTTCTGCGTGGTTAATAGTCACAGAACCACTATTTTCTCCTCATGATTCTGGTGCTCAACGAATAGCTTTCTCTGTGCCAGACACAGATTTCCTTTCCTGATCAAACATATCATTTTTTATATTTCACAACTGTAGATAGTCACTTCTGCCACCCCAATTTAAAAATATAGAACTGCCTTTATCCAACTGTTCTTTATCCAAGAATACTGAAAAATAGTGTCATATCCAGATTTTATATGCTGTAGAAGCATATTTTGTTTCTGTTCATCAACCATAGACATGGCCAAGCACTGTGGACTAGCCTCAGTCTTTAAAATCAGATGCAGTTTTGGTGAGCTGGAAACTGTCTCACTGTGAAGATCCTCTGGAGGCATTTTCCAGACCGGCACTTGGTGAGAACATACAGTTCTCCACGAGCTAACGGAGAGCAAATCTGAAATGTGCCAAGGGGTCAGACGGCTCTGCCTTTCATCTTGAGACTACAGATACAGTTCTTCTAGGGTCAGTAGAATTGGGGACAGAAATCTCATTTATCCCACATGCATGCTTTGGATTAGAATCCACAGATTGAGATTTTGATGAATTTGTATCAATTTTAATGAGATTTAATGCCCAGATGACTCTCTTTTGCAGTTCAAACAATAAAGTTGCTCACAGATACAGAAGACATTTCATCTACTTACCAATTCTCAAAACGTAATGTGATGATAACTGAAGCCCATGTATAGAAGAAATCTTTTATATGCTGCATTATGCCTTGATATCTCTTAAAACATTGTTTGTATTCACCATGTAGATAATTGTGTTTCTGGCCACTAATATTTTGTTATATTTTTATAAAAAACTCAAATATCCATTCATTTTATTTGTTTGAGAATTTTTATTTCCTGTGCCTGAAAACCCATTTTGAGATAAATGCGTTTTATCAGTTTTTATTTATTCCTACATTTCATCAGTTTTCCATGGTTGGCTAATCAATGGCGTGCAAGTTTACATAATGAATTTCAAGAGTCCAAAAAAATGCTCTTATCATTTTATAATTCAGACTACAGGAGTAAACATTTTACTTTATGCAGTTGCTAACTTCCAGGACATAAGATGGCAGTAATTTATGCCCACACACATGGAAGATAATCTTCAAATTAGCTATCTTATACTTCCATGTACATATGAAAACAGGGACTGGTTTTTCTTATTGTTTCCTATATTTCAGAATCATTAAATTCTACCGTGTTTACATAGAAGATTTACGGATCATATTCATTTAATTTTTTGAGAATTTTCCTATCTTTGAATTGAAAACACATTAGAACCTATACATAAGTTCTAAACGTTTTGAGATTCACTCCACTTATCATTTTGAAATAAGTGGGTAACAGATGACAGGTGAAAAACAGTAAGTTTCTGAGTTTCTTACCCCCCTTTGTGTGGTGTCAGATGTCAAAGATTCAGCTGAGTAAATAGCTTTAAATGAATCACCTGAATGTATTTAAGGATGCGTGACAACTTTCAAATAGCTATGTGATATGGAAGGCCATGTCAATACCACTCTCTTTGGATACAACTTTTGTTCTTTGTCCTAGGATAACTGACTGATTTGAGGAGAGCTTCCAGTAGACATACAGACTAATTTTGTATGAGTAGAGGTTCTTTTTACTCAATTTATTCTTAAAGAATAAACAAACCTCTACAATTACAATTCAAAAATGTCTGTCAAATAATTACTGAAACTATTTTTGCTTTTTCAAGGGTTGTTTTAAAATAGTTATAGTAGTCAGTAAAATTGAGTAGTATGTTTGCAAACAAGAGAAGACTCAGATCCCGGGCTTCTAGATTCAGTTCTCACTAGCTTCCCACTTAGGAAAATAATATCCAGGAAAGTATTAGAGGAAGTTAACATTTTAGTGACACTTACCCAGAAAATAAACCTAGAGCTGGCTCATTGTTTTCTGCATTCTGTGGAAGAGGATCCCTTTGTTTAGCAGCTCTTGGAGGATATGATTCTTGGATTCAGTGATCTTCAAATAAACTGGAATGTTAATTTCATTACAATGGGTATACAGTATAAACTACCTCACTTGCCTTTCTTGGGAAAAAAATTAATGGACTTTAACAGTTTTTGTTACAAACTGTCCCTGAGTCTTATTATTATTTAAGTCACTTCAGTTAGCTTTCAATGTGCATTTAATAATACACATTTAATGATGTAAAATATTTTTAGCAAAAGCTTTAAAGCCAAAAATACTCTGTAACTGTGACCTGTGGTATACTCTGAGAGAATTTGTGTCCCTTAGTCATTGTCTTGTGTGTTTCACCACGTTGCAGTGCAGGTTTTCAAGTGTAGGAATTAAGAGTCATCTCTGCTTTCCGGCATTTTTCAACTGCTTTACCCATATTGCACTTGACAGAAAAGCAACATGAGATTGAAATTCCCTTCTTTCTATCAAGCATATTTCAACTGTTTTTCACAAATGTTTAACATGCCTGAAAAGAATATATATTATGGGATTAAATAGTTCCTAGTTTCTGACAGGCATTTTCAGCTATTTTCCATAAATATGTCACTTAATAAAAAATAGTGTGACATGGATTAAAATGTTTCTTTCAAACATTTTAAATGGTTTCACACACACACATAACCTTAATTTAAAAACAAATCTTTCAGCCATTTTTCAACTATTTTCTAAAACTCTGTGATCTGATTAAAAAATGATTTAATGTCACAAGAAATGCCAATGTTTTATGTTGTCTCCCGTTGCAAAAGTTAATATTAATTCTTTTGTCTTGGCTTCCATTGTTAAATATAATATGTATGTTGCATTTATCCATAAAAATAAAGAGAAAAAAAGAAAAACGTTGTCCCAAGAATTCTTATGTTCCACCAGTCTAAGGGCACCATGTGCCTGGTGAAAGAATGGGGGCTTTTGAGGGGCCTGGGTAGCTCAGCTGGTTAAGCATCCGACTCTTGATTTCACCTCAGATCATGATCTCACGGTCATGAGTTCAAGCCCCGTGATGGGCTCTGTGGTGGTATGGAGCCTGCTTAAGATTCTGTCTCTCTCTCCCTCTTCCCCTCTCCTACTCTCGAGGTTGCACTCTCTCTCTCTCTCTCTCTCAAACAAACAAACAAAAAAAAAACAACAGGGCTTTCAAGTCAGCAGGCACATGTGTGAGCCCACTCTGTCACTCATTTGCTGGATGGTGGCCTTGTGCAAAAGCCATGTGGCACTATAGTAATGGATGGTTATGATGTTGTTTTTAATGTGTCTTTAAAAAACAACAACAAAAAAAAAACACAAAAACTTTTTCAATGGATACAGAAAAGACATTTGACAAAATTCAGTACTAATTCATGATATTTTTTTGTAAATTCAACATTTTACAGTATATCTTGTGCTAAAGGCAAGAAAGAAAGGCAAAAGATTAAAAAGAAAATAGTCTCTATTTGGAAATGATATGAGGATTTATATGGAAAAGGCTGAATATCTTCAACTATTAGAACTAGTAAGATAATTAAGCATGGTCATGGCATATAAGGCTATTACGTAAAAATCAATAGTATTTATTTGAAGGTTTTTAATTTATTTGAGAGAGAGAGAGCACACGCGCACATGGGAATGTGAGCAAGCAGGGGAGGGGCAGAGAGAGAGGGAGACAGAGAATCCCAAACAGGCCCCATGCTGTCAGTGTAGCACGAGGTGGGGCTTGATCTCACAAACTCTGAGATCATGATCTGAGCCGAACACAAGAGTTGGACACTTAACCGACTGAACCACCCAGGTGCTCCAAAATCAATTGTATTTTTTATATTAGCAAACAATTGGAAAATAAAGGTTTTAACTTCCATTTCCCGTAGCATCAAAAAAGTTTATGGAAAAACTAAAACATACTTTTGGTAGAAATTAAAGAATAGCTAAATAAAAGTATAGACAGATCATGTTTCTGCGTGGGAAGAGATGGATGGAAGAACATTGGCAAGATGTCCGTTCCCCACAAATAGATCTGTAGATTTAATGCAATCCCAATCATAACACCAGTAGGCTTTTTAGGTAGAAATTGGCAAACTAATGATAAAATTTATATGGAAATGCAAAGGATCTAGACCATCTAAAGTAATCTTACCCCAAAAAGAGAACCAAGTTACATTTAGAATGAGGGATTTCAAGACTTACTATAAAGCTACAGCTATTAAGATAATATGATACAGTATGAAGGTCAACACCTACATCAATGAAAAACAAAACAGCACAGAAGGAGGTGCTCACTTACATCATCATTTGATTTTCAGCACAGGTGCCAAAGTAACCCTATGGAGAAAGGAAACTTTCTGCAGAAGGGGCTAGGGCAACTAGATATACATATCACAAATTCATCCAAAGTGGATCAGAGTATTAATTATAATGCTTGAAACAATGATGCCTTCAGAAGAAAACACAGGAGACTAGCTTTGTGACTTGGGAATAGGCAAAGCTTTCTTAGGAACAGAAAGCAACACTTTTAAAAGAAAACAAAATTTGCTAAATTAGACTTCAACAAAATTTAAAACTGCTGCTTATCCAAAGGGACCATTAAGAAATCAAGCAAACCACAGATTAGGAAAATAGATATTTGTAAAGTATATGTTTGACAAAAGACGGACATTCAGGATATATAAAGAATTCTCTAATGAAAAACAAGCACATTTTTGAAAAGGGCATAAGACTTGAACGGATACTTACATGAAAGGAGATAACACAAATGGCTAAGAAGCAGATATAAACACGTTCAACATCATGTGTCATTAGGGAAATGCAAAACAAACCACAAGGAGATACCACTACATACCCACCAGAATGATTAAAATTAAACAGATTGATCACTTTGAGGGTGGAAGAATCAGAACTCTTATACTTGCTGATACAAAGTAGGGCAGCCATTTTGGAAAGGGTCTAGCAGTTTCTCTCAGACCAATTATACAACTACCAGCTGCTGAGTACAGATAACAACATAAATGAATCTCAGAAACATTATGCTGAGTGAAAGAAGCCAGACACAAAAGATACATACTGTACAATTCCATTGACATGAAATGATAGGACCGGCAGCACTAATAAGTGAGAGGGGAGAAAACCCAGAACGATGGAGCCTCTGTGGGGGTGGGTATGGAGACTGGGTGGAAGGGGCATGGGGCCTTTCCAGGGAATGAAAACATTCTATATGTGCCATCCAATACAGGACCACTGGCCAGGCCACATGGGCATGTTGAACACTTGGAATGTGACTAGTCTGAATGGAGATGTGTTCCAAATACACACCAGATTTTGAAGACGTAAGTAGGAAAGAATATAAAACATCTCATTAGTAGTATTTTACTATTACATGTTAGATTCTAATATTTTGTATATTTAAAATGATGTATTAGTAAAATAAATTTCAGCAGTTTCTGTTTACTTTTCTAGTGTAACTACTAGAAAATTCTAAGTTATATATGTGACTTGCATTACATTTCTATGGGATAGTATTGTTTTATATTTTGATAAGTGTTTGGGTTACAAAGATGTATATATTTGTCAAAACTCAGTGAATGTTTACTTACTATTCCTGCATTTCATTATATGTAAATGCTACCTCAAAAGACAATAATTTGCAAATAAGAAATATTGAACTTAAGGTAATGATATGCATCCTGGGGCATTTCGGGGGAAGTGTATCGGTGTCTGTAATTTATTATTGTGAAATGTGTAAAAATAAGATAGATTGATGAATCAATAGAAAGATAGATATGCTTCAGGCCAAATATAGTAAAATACTTCCGATGGAAGGGCAGTAGGTATACCAGTATTCAACGTAATATTCTCTAAGCTTGAAATCTTCTGTAGAA